ACAGAAGAGCGGGAGAGGAAGTACAAAGCTCAAGTCCTCACATCGTGACAAAGCTGAGAAGAGCAGGGAACAGGTCTCTTTCATTGCTTTGCTCTGTTTTTACAAATAATTGGCAAAGTAAACAAATGACTTTGGAGTGTCAAAATCACCAGTACCACTAGTTAAAAATTAATTTTATCTTCTCAAATGGTGGTTCCTGGTTACATATTTGCACACCACCAAAAAATCCCCAAAGAAAACATAGACCCATAAAGACAAGAGACCAAAGTCTTGTTTTATGGTTAGTATTTGGAGAAGGAAAGTAACACTTGAATGATTGATTTATTATTTGAATGATTTTATTTGGCTATTGGTTTATGTCATTTATTCCTTTGTTTACTTATTTTGGAGAGAAGGAGAAAGGGAGAAAGAAAAGAAAAAAATTGATTCATTGTTCCATTCATTTATGCATTCATTGGTTGCTTCTTGCATGTGCCCTGACTAGGGATAGAATCCACAACCTTGGTGTATAGGGATGATGGACTGACCAACGGAGCCAGCTGGCTAGGGCCTATGTCATTCTTTTAAGTCCTATAAATTGACCCATGATTCAAGGACTGTTATTATTCCCACTTAAAACAGATACACATAGCACAGCAACTGAGAAGTTCAGACACTTGTCTCAGGTTGCACAGCTAATCAGGCAGATGGGGGTCTTCCTGACCTAAAAGTTCTGTTCCAGTCTCACTCTGCCCCACCAGAGCAGAAAGCTCAAATTCTGTTGTTTTTAAGAAGGGTGTAGATGTCCTCTTTCATGGGTATCGGACATACAACTTCTCACTAATGTATTTGTTGGATGAGCTGGGCATCCAAGAAGCCAACGTTATGGAGGAAAGTGAACCTAAATTATTCTGAGGAACCAGGGGAAACACTCCCCCTTTGAAATCCAGCTTAAGCATTTAATAACCAAATGGGGCAGAAACAAATCTCTGTTGACTTGGAGAAATCGGTCATGCAATTGATTGTTCAGTGTTCGTTGGGGAAGGAGAGTCTCCTATGGAAAAAGTCAGGGCAAGTGCAAAGCCATGAAGCATAGTCAAAAAGATCTGGAGTCATAGAGTTGAACTTGTGTGCTGCTCTTCCACTTATGAAGAGACTCGGCCCCTCTGAACCTCAGCTTCCTCCCCTTTAACATGGGGGTTGTGATTAAATGAGATGGCATATTGAAAGTGTGAGCACTCGAAATATTATCTCTTATTTAGTTTTTTTCCTACCTCTCTTTGAAAGTCACAATCCAAAATTCTGTTTTACACAAAAATGATCACAGGGAGAAAGGAAATATAAAAGCCTCTCTCCCGAGCTTGCCTTTGTACAAATATATGGGCATCAGCTTCCTGTTGGATTATGTTGGACACACGTCAGATGTCCAGGGTAAAGCTTTGGAATATGAGGACAGCTTTGAACATGGCCAAGAAAGGAGACAAGGCCAAGTGAAATTCTGTGACTTTCACCTCGAGTGATGCAGACAGAATAACAAGGAAGAATGAAGGCATGTTTTACTTGGTGTGTCTCTTTCTCTGGTGGCTTTTGTGTGGCTTCCTTGGAAGGTTTTACCCCAGAATTTTTCAGAAATAGTACAGTTGTTTGGGATGATTACAGGCAATCACCGTTTGCCAGAGAAGGAACTATGTTTAACTGGCTGACTTGCTCCCTGGTGCCGGCTGGGGAAAGGTACAGCTGGCCTAATATTTATCATCTATCGGGTCTTATAAAATCAAAGAAGAATGGCCTGTGGGCCTTTGGAGAGACTGACCCAGAAAGACGGATTGTAAGGGGTGAACCCAAGGACCCATTGGGAAATAAGAGTGAGTTTTGACAGTGGAACATAAAATTCATGCAACAGAAAGACAAACCAGAGAGCAGGTTCACCTGACAGGCGGTGATGGCGCAAACATCTCTACAAATCTATGTTTGAAATCAACAAGTATTAAAAAAAAATAAAAGAAGATCATCTGAGTTTAGAGGAGAGGTGTCTCTGAGAAACCTTGAAGCCGCACTGTCCAATGAAGTAGCTGGCAGCCATGTGTGGTTATCACGAGCACTTGGAATGTGGCCTGTCCAAGTTGTGATGTGTTGTGAAATACGTGATTTCAAAAGCTTAGTATAAAAAAGTAATGTATCTCATTAATTTTTATGGTGATTACACATAGAAGTGATAATATTTTAGATATATGTGTTAAATGAAATATATTCTTAAAATTAATTTTACTTGATTCCTTTTGCCTTTTTTTAGCATGGCTACTAGAAAACTTTAAGTACGTATTTGGCTCACATTATGTTCCTATTGAACAGCATTACTTTAGAATCTCATATAGAATTTTAATCCCTGTTCATGATTCCAGTTACTATTTACCTCCACTTTGCACCCTGGTTATGATGATCTCAGGCTACTGACAGCCAGCACTTACCCAGAACTTTATACCCCAGAGCTCTGCACTCCCATCTAGGATGCTCACTCCCCCAGACCTTGTCATGTCTGACTCCTTTTTCAACTTTCTGGCCTTTTCTCAAATGCCCTCCCTCTAGCAGGGGTGTCCGACCCATGGCCCATGGGCTGCATGTGTCCCAAAATGGCTACAAATGTGGCCCAATAAAAAATCATAAATTTACTTTAAAAATCACAAGATTTTTTTTTTGTGATTACGTGTCACAATGTATTTAATGCATAGCCCACAACAACTCTCCTTCCAATGTGGCCCAGAGACATCAAAAGGTTGGACACCCCTGTGAGGTCTGCTCTGACCACAACTGGATGGCATCGACCTCTTCTATTGTCTTCATAGCATTTGCTAATATTACCTGCCTTCCCAACTAGACTGTGAGTTCCAAGGGGAAAATCTACTGTGTTCACCTCTCTGTTTCCTGCCCTCAGAACAGTGCCCTGCTCAGAGCTGGCTTGCAATCAGTATTTCCCAAATGGCTAAATGCATTAGCTTTAGATCTGATGGAGACTGGTTTCTACTTTCAGGGAGCACAGGACTCAGTGGGTCCGAGGGCAAAAATGTCTGCAAATGGAGTCGTCCTATCGCTGCTGTGAACCTTTTGTTGCATTTCACTGTGTGTACTACTAAGGAAATAACCCAACAGAGGTCAAAAAACAAGAAAACCTCAAAGCTTAGACTCCCTGTTTACTGGTAACGGCAGATGGTTGTTGAAAAGGCTGCTCCCCTGTACTCTTCTGTTTTTGAAAACCAGATTAAACATTCCACAAACTGTGATTATGGGCACAATCAGGGCATATATTTCTAGCTGCGGCAATCTCGACATGAAAAGATAGTTTGAGTCTAAAAGGCACATGTTTTCAGAGGCTTTAAGGGGAGACTGACCTCTTCATACATTGCTACATTACTAAGTGGTTTTAGACTGCTGAGTGGGGCAGAGGCTCATTTTTATTTGTATATATTCTATAAATGTGTGTGGGAATGACAGTGCATTCCAAATGGTTAACCTTGACTACTTTAGGGTTGTGGAAAAGGGAAGGATAATAAGATACTATAAATATTTTCTCCATATACCTCCATATTGTTTTCTTTTTCACAATGACCATGGATAGATTTTGTACTATTAAAAAAGGAATCAAGTAGATGTTTAGAAAGAAACTGTAAAGAGAAATGCCAGAAAGCTTCCCTGTATTTGACTGGAGGTACTTCTGACATCTTGACTTGCAGTCAAGTTGTCAGTTCTGTGCCTCAGCTACTAACACACAGGCCAGCAACCAGTCTGGGTATCAGAAAATGGAAGGTTAAGACTAGTCACACTGCTTAAAAATTTGGTGATGTCATGGCTCCCTGAGCACCAACCAAGTGCCCTCAACATATCACAACTCTCCTGCCATACTGCTTCTTTAATCACTTTGAGATAATAGGTACCCTTTATCGAGGGCACCTATTATAAATTACATAATTACATTTCCCATTTTGTTTTGTAATCAACCCTTAAAATGTTGATCATAAAATTGTCACTTAGCAGATGTGGAAATTGAAGTTCAGGGAGGTTAGGTGAACTGAATGGAGCTACTCAGAGGCAGAGCACAACATTGAACCTAGCCTTTTCCAAACTTTGCCCAAATGAATTCACCACTTGCTATCTCTTTTCAAGGGGTGAGACATAATGAAGTGTTTTGCAACTGGTTCCACAGATGAATTAAACTCTATTCTCAATGGAAGCCTAATTCTGTGAAAGTCTTCTGATCTCCAAAAGCTTTTCCCTAACTGGCCTTCTTTGGAGCTTGACAGTCCACTAATAGAATCAATCAGTCCTGTTGGGTAACATCCCCTGGGACCCACTCTTCAAGGACAAGGACCCTTATAAATGTGTAACATCTAACATCATTATATAGCATATGAATTAGTTATCAAGGAAATACATCTAACAAGCTTCCCAGTGACTAAGACATGGGGCCTAGTAAGATTTGATGGGGGTGTGGAGAAGGGATGGTGATGGAGCTGAGTTAGGAATGTGCTACAGGACTGTCATTGTGGGCCTATGGATAGCTAAGGGACACAGAGAACCCAGATACAGAAAAGAAAGGGGCCACTAAACGTATGTGTCATCATTCAGGTCAGGCCCGGGCTCGATTACTGAGTTAATAAGGCTATGGATAAGCACAAAGCAGAGAAAGCTGGCACATGTGTGGCTGTTTCCTGTAGACCGCATTACCCATCCCAGGTCCAAGTTCTGAAAATGCTCCCATTTGTCACAAGGGCGCTAGGTTATAAGATGCCATGGCTCAATGAGTGGAAATCAGTCACCCCATCAAGAAAATTCAAAAAGTATATTCTCCTAGGAATCTGCTCAGAGTGTTCTTCTCAACCACTGAGGACCAAGAAGTAGCTTCTGGATATTTGGGGGGATGGTTTACAAAACTAATAGATCTTTTTCAGTGATGGATTTCTGGAATTAACCTGGAAAAAATACTGTCTTCTCTCTTTTTAAATGGGATGTGCATTTTCTTCTCACAGAAAAAGCGTACATTGAAGGGCTCCATTGAACTCTCCAGAATCAAATGTGTTGAGATTGTGAAAAGTGACATTAGCATCCCCTGCCACTATAAATATCCTTTTCAGGTAAGTTTATCATGCCCGAGGGGACTAGTTCCTCATACCTTCCATGATATTTGAAATCCTCAGTTATTGTAAGAGAAGGTGAGACAGAGATGACTCTGGTGTAGGGTTAGAAGTTAGACCAAGACCAAAAGAACATTGCTGTGTTCTTTCACTTATTCATTCATTCAACACAGATGAAGCATAAAATCCTAAAAAGTTGTCATTCCTCATTCCCCTTTCCCTATGTCTTCCCTATCTCAAGAAAATTCCTAATCACTCTGCTCCAGGCCTGGGGATGGGGTGGAGGGGGGAGAAAAAAATACCAAGGGCCCCAAGCCTTTAGGTCTTTAAGTGCAATTTACTCATGATTTGGGGTGACTGATGGCAATTCTTGTTAGAAATTGCTGGAGGTTCTGGGATTAAAAAAAATTAGATTTTACCACCTGAGAACTATCTGTAATTATGCTATTTAATACAGTAACCACTAACCACATGTGGATGTTTAAATTTAAATGTGAATTCACTTAAATTAAACAGTATTAGAACTTTAGCTCTGAGTCATATTAAGACACATTGAATGAATGAACATTTCACATGTTCTATAGCCACACATGGCTAGTAGCTACTATGTTGGACAGCACAGATGATAGAATAATACCATCGGTGCAGAAAGCTCTATTGGACAGAGCTGGTGGAGGGCATTTTTAGTTCTTAGGTTATGACATCGTCTAAATCTAATTACCACTCTTGGCATTTTTGCCTCTCAAGAAGAGGGTACCTCTTTGCATATCCTATGGTATCATTCTTGTTTAACAATCTGAGTGTTACAGGAAAAGACTTTTTTCCTACTAGAAAAGTAACTTCCATGGGTTGGAATTTTTAGGGCTGAAAGTAAAAGGAATAACATACATTTTCCTGTCATTAAAATCCCAATTACAAATGAGTGCATGAAAAAAAAAAAAAACTGGTGAAATCAAACAAGATCTGTAGTCTACTGAACACTATTGGACCAGTGTCAATTTTCTGGTTTTGAACATGTGCTGTGGTTATGTAAAAGGTTATCACTGGGGAGAGATGGTAAAAAGTACCAGGAACTCTGTACTATTTTTGGAACTTCTTGAGAATCTTACATTATTTCAAAATTAGAAGTTCTTAAAATCCTAAGTACACATTTGTCATCTAACAGCTTATTCTTTTATATGCCACAAAGTTTCTATTTTCTAAAAAATTAATATGAGAAATAAAGGAGCTGTCAAGAGGAGAACTCTTTCTTCAGCTGTTTTAACTTAGTGATGGCTTACTGATGACATTGAACCCAAGACAAGTAGCCTAAGCTGTGGAGGTTCAAGCTGCGTCTGCACGGCACCCAAACATCTGGATGATAAGGATACAGGTCCCCTGATAGTCCAGAGTTTGCCTTTTTGACAACAAACGCTGAGACCCCACACTTGGCCCAGTAAACCAGATGGCTTATCAGTCATCCCTCTCTGGACATACTGCTCACCTCGAACTCTGTATGTGTCTCCAGGTTGTACATGACAACTACCTCCTGTATGTGTTTGCTCCAGACCGTGAGAGTCGGCAGCGCTGGGTGTTGGCCCTTAAGGAAGGTAATTCATCTCCTGTGTGACTGAGTCCCTGGGACTCCTTGATCCTCTAGTAGGTTTGGGTTCCACATCAGAACAAAGGGCAGCTGATGGTCAAACATTTCTCTCTTTCGGTGTTGGTAGAAGGTCCCAACTTTTTATTCTGGACCCAAGAGGCAAAAACCAGTACAGGGCAGGGTCAGCCAAGTCCAGTTCATCACCTGTTTTTATAAGGTTCCAAGCTAAGAATGGTTTTTATATTTTTAAATGGTTTCATTTTAAAGGGTTATACAAGTACCTACAAAATATATTGCTTTTGCCTGTTGGTGAGAAACCTAAAATATTTACTATCTGGCCCTTTAAGAAAAAGTGTGTTGACTTCTGGTATGTTGTAAAGAATACAAGCGTGGACCCTCCAGCTAGATGACCTGGGTGCGGATCCTGACTCTGCCACTTACTAGCCATGTGTGCTTGGGCAACTTCCTCAACTGTTCTGTGCTTCAGTTTCCCCATTTATTTTTAAAAGGAAATGTAGAAGGGAAAAATAATAGTGCCTGCCCCCAGTACTGCTGTGAGTAAAGTCCTTGGAACTAGCCTGGTCCATCATCAGCACCCAATAAACGTTAACTAGCTTTAAGAGTTTTCAGAGCATCGGTGAGGGTATTTCTCAAGGCTCGCCTTTCTGAAAGTATAATTAAAACTGGCACAGTGTTTAGGTCCCTGGGATGTTGAGCCGGGCTACTAAAGTGAAAATCCCAGCTCTACCAATGATTAGTATGCGACTTTGAGCAAGTTCCTGGATTGTTCAGTATCTCCATTTCCTCAGCTGTGAATTCTCACTAGTAACACTCATGGGGTTGTTGTGAGAATGAAATGGGTTAGGACACCTCACACACATAGTACAACACCAAAAGTAAGCACTCAATCAGTATTGTTCTTAATATTACTTAGCCTGAAGCCCTGGATTTGCAGGAGAACTAGGTTTCAATACTATTCTAAGTAGCTATGGGGACTCAGGGTAAGCAAGCCGTTTTGAAATCTCAGGAGTCACAATGCCCCTATCTGAAAATTAAGAATAAAAATGCAAGTCTTATCAGCTTTCAAATGACATATGAACAGGCAAGTGCTGGGAAAACTGGAAAGTGCTCTCAAGTATAACAGTCACAGAACAAACACTAAAGTAGAAGTAATCAGAACACTGAAGTAAACCCTAAAGGAAAAGTAATAAAAAGGGCTCTAGCTATGAGCATTGGCCATTCTCCCTCTGTGAGGGGGCTTTAACTAGAGCCCCCTCATAGGATGTTAAAACTAGAGGCAGCATTGGAGATAATCTGTCCACTTCTCTGGCTTTTATACTTTTTTTTTAGCAGTAGAGTCTTATTATTTTTTTTCTATCATAACTGTACTTTAAAGCTACAAATCTAGAAGGGGTGAAAAGCAAAGTTGCCATGGTTGGGGGTTGGAGAGATGGAAAGTGGGAATCCCACCTATTCAGTCTTCCCATTACTCCTTCGGCATTTTGTGGGGTTCACTGATCCAGTCTAACGACATCATGGCACAGAGGGAAAACTGAGGCTCAGATGAGGGTCCTGCCCAACCTAAGGACATGCAACTAACCCAAGACTGAGCCAGACAGGAACCCAGATCCACTGATGCCTGAATCCAACATGCATTCCTGTGAATAGGTATAGGCCTGCAGAAAGGCATCTGCATGTTTGTGACTGTTCTGAGCACAGTTCACTCAGATTCACACAGCTGGGCCCAGTCTCAAGGAGTTAGCAAGTTGGTGGTCCTTGAGACACGGATCTGGAAATAACTCTTCTGCTGGTACCAACCTCTTTCAGAAACAAGGAGCAACAACAGTTTGGTGTCCAAGTATCACCCCAATTTCTGGATAGACGGGAGGTGGAGGTGCTGTGCTCAGCTGGAGAAGCTTGCAGTGGGATGCGCCCAGTACGATCCAACCAAGAATGGTAAGACACTGAGAATTCCCTTTCTTCGTTACAAAATAAATGACCTCTCTACTAGTAGGAAGTAAAAGCTGTCAGCTTCCCATCACCACAGATGTCAGAGATTAAATGCAAAATTCTACATCTCCAGAATTTTCAGAGGGATATCATCTGCCTCTACTACCACTATCAGTTTGGTGATTTTTTTTCATATCTATACCTCCTTGCATTTCAAAGGGTGGTCCTTAGACCAGCAGCATCAATAACACCTGAGAGAGAGTTAGAAATGCAAATTCTCTGGCCCCATCCCAGGTCTTCTGGATCAGAATTTGTATTTTAACAAGATTCCCCAGGAGATCTGTATGCATAGTTATGTCTGAGGAGCACTCTCTGATAAAACTTTCAAGTTTGGAAATTTCAAAAGCATGGTCTACTGAAATCTTAAATTTAGAGATAGCCTTACAAAGTATATTAACATTTATTTTTTTTATGTCGTCATCACATCATAGCAATGTTTAATTACACAAGTTCAACTCTATATACTTGCAGGGGGAAGAAAGTAAAAGCAAAACAGCTTATTTTGCTCGATGGCTTCTCCCCACCTCCCCTTCAAACTTGCCCACAATCTCAGAGAAAAAGAGGCCGCAGCTTATCTGCAAAGTGAAAACAAAAGAAATTGTTTCTTGGCCTTTGATGTCAAAAGCCCAGGCCCTGGGGATTGGAGTACCAGTCAATTTTACTTTATGTGATGACTTTGGGACCCAAACCCACAATGAAAGGCCGCTCCTTCTAATGCACTTTTATATGTAATATTCTCCCGTTTCTCTCAACCATCTGGGTAGATGATGTGATATTAAAGAAAGAGTTGAGCAGTTTGGTATGTTCAAGGTCACACAGCTGGGAAGTGCTCTCTGCAAAGCCATTGTCAAATAGGAATGATGGATCAATCATACAGATTGTTTTGCTCCCATTCCCCTCTCCTCTAAACTTCTCTTACCTTAGTTACCTTTTTTCATCTGCCAGTTTCTTTCTGGCACTAAAACCTAATGCCTCAGATTGACAACCCAAGGCGGATGTGCTAAATGTAACTCATGGCTGGGTTTTCCGTGGCTTCTTGAGTCATAGCCCCCTTTAGTACCACTTTAAAAACCACTACTTCTCACCCTCCACCTTGGAAGAGAAAGTTCAAGGTTACCAGTCCCTTGGCCCAGAAGAATACTATTTATCTAATTTCAGAAGTCAATGATCCTCTGCATTAGCCCTGTTGACCATAGTCGTGAAGATGAGTATTGAATGGAAAGGAAATGGAAGGTTTTATATGAGTGGAATCCACCACAATGACAGGGTGGCTTGCACTGGCCTCAGTGAGTGAAAATCCTTTTTCCAAAGCCAGAAATCTGGTCTCCAAATTTTTGCCAGCACCTTGCTCTGGGCCCTCGGATGAGTCACTTGACCATTAAGGACACTAGTGTCCTCAAGTCTGAAATGGTAAGGGAAGTTTTAGGGAGCCTGAGATGAAATATTCACTAAGCCCCCTTCCAGTTTTGAAATTCTTGGAATCAGTGTTTCCATTTGCTGTTTCTACCATGCATGTCACAGCTGTTCCCCTTCAGGGTGCACAGTGCCTCCCTCCACTGAGTGGTGAGCACATGACTGAGGTGTGAGGACCATCTGAACAACTCACTAGGATGACACTTGGGGAGGCTGGTCACGCTGAGCTTCTCCCCACGTGAACCCAGGGCCTAACCACTGGACAATCGCTTTGCTAATGGTCCTGCTTTTGCATTGTCACCTACGATCACGTCCCCATCTCAGCATGTACTCATTCTACTCTCTCTGACCCCTTTTAAATCACCACAGCTATGACAGGATGGAGGGCAAAGTGTCCGAGAAGCACACGGCACTGTGCACACAGCACATGATCATTGGCTCTCAGCAATGGCTTACAGAATTCTGGTGTTGGGCACACCTACAGGGCAGGGCCCAAGACCACAGATCTTTAGGGTGAAAAGCACTTGGGGTGAATCCCAGCCCTATCAGTTCTTTGCCCACATATATGAAGTGTGACTTCATATATGTTACTTAACCTGAGTCTCTGAGCCCATTCCTGGCCTGGAAATGGGGACAATGATAATAAGTAGCTACTTTGTTGGGTTGTGGTGAGTCTTGGGTTGTGCAAAGTTTTTAGCACAGCTGCTGGCTCTTACTGAGCTCTCAATAAATGGCAGTTGTGTCTACTAATCTTTCTTATTTGTGGACAGAAGAATGGGAAGCAATATGCATGTGTATGGCTGGGAAGCAGCTGAAGTGATTGAGTAAAAAGGGACCCTGCTATACCCGAGCGACAGCAACACTTATTTCTGCAACCAGAACTGGCCCTGATCTCACCACAGCCTACACAGAGAGTGAGGAAGGAAGGGCAGAGCAAGGCCAGAGGAAGAAAGAGACCCGTCACAGAATGTTCAGGGCCAGCAGGGAACAAGGCCACTCCACTGGTATGCGGTGCAGCTGGGGTTAGAATGCCAGTCTCCGGGCTCCAAGTTCAGTGTTGAATAGGAATCATACTTCCTATTATGTTGGTTTTCCTTTTGTGAATTGCATTCCCAATGCCCCACCCTGCCCTTGCTCAAGGAGTTAGCACAAGGGCTGGGCTCCAGGGTCTGTGTGAGCCTCCTCTTACCACATCCCTGACGTGGGCTATACAACTTCAAGTCAGCCTCATGCAAAGGTGAGGGACTCACCACCTACATCTTCAGCCCGGTCCCTTCTTATCTCTGATCGTAAAAGAGATCGAAGTGAGTGGAAGCCTGTGCAGTGGCTCCCATATGACACCTCGACACCCATGCTTGGTCCATTGATCCCAGGCCTGACCTTTCAGTGTCTCAAAAGAGAAATACTGAGAGACAGAGGTGAAGAGATGATAGGAAAGAGAGAGGAAAAGGGAGAGAAAGAAGACAGGCAAAAGAAGGAACACAGAGAGGAGAGATAAAGGGAGGGAGACATGGCAACGTGGAAACACAAAGAGGTAAACAGAGAAGGGGTGTCTGGTGCGATGTTTGGAGGTGGCGACAGGAACATGTATTCAGGGGTGTTAATGTAACTAAAAGTGGATTTCTGCCTCTCGAAAAGCAGCCGACCACCTCCCCCTCACCCGCCCCCTCCTCAAGCCACAACAGCATCAGGAAGCCAGTGAGTCACGGTGCCCCTGAGTCACCCATTCCCACTCCTGGGTTTAGCAGGTGCCAGGTGCTGTCATGGAAGGCTCCAGGCTTTAACCCCCATGTCACAACCTTGGGAGCAGGCTTTGCCTGGGACCACAGCAAAATGGGCCCAGAAGATTGGCTTCTGGAAATTCCTGGCGTCTCCTAGAAAATGAAATCGGGAAGCGCGGGCTGAGACAGACATGAGGGAGGTCCTGCCAGGGCCGATATTTGTTTCTCTGGGTCCCAACATCTCCTCAGGGCCCCTTTTCTCCGAAAAGCCCCCTGCCTGCTCACCTCCGGTTGGGGATGTTCGGTTTCAGGCTCATTTTCTTTTTCTGTTTTTCTCGTTTCAGCTTCAAAGAAGCCTCTTCCTCCTACTCCTGAAGACAACAGGGTGAGTGGGAGTGGGGCACGGGGGGCCCACGGGGCTGCAGGCTGCTTGACAGGCCTGTTCCCACCTGCATTTTTCCTGCCTGCCCAGATTTCTCAAATCCTTGGCAGATGCAATAAACTGTGGTGATTCAGCTGAACTCAGTACATTGGGCCTGACCTATCCCATAGGTCTGTCCACATAAAAGGACCCCTCAGCTGCTAAACCTTCACCTCGCTTTATCCACCTAACAGACACTTATTGGTACCAAATTATGTGGCCAGCCCCCTGACTGCTTGGAAGCATAAGAGCAGCTCACATCTATGTAAAACTGCAGTTTTACTCTATGTAGTGGCACTTTGGAAGCATACATTTGATAGTTTATCTTTCTCAAAGCACTTCTACACTTTTACTACCTGTTTCAAAACTCCCTATCAGTTCTGGTCACTTACGACAAAGTTTTATTCTCTTTTGAAATCTTGGGAAATCAAGTCCCGAGAGCAGTTTTGAGACTCTCTCAAGGCCATTCAGCCACGTAGGAGTCAAACTGGTAAGCTGCTGAGTTTTTGGTGGGGTGGTCTCTAATTCAAGGGGCAGTGCTCAAAGTCTGGTCCGTGGACCAGCAGCATCAGCATCACCTGGGAGCTTGTTAGAAATTCAGTGCAGACTCTCAGGCCCCACCTCAGGCCTACTGCATCCAAAACTCTGGGGAAGGGGCCCTGCAATCTGTATTGGAACAAACCTCTAGGCGATTCTGAGGCACACTGAAGTTTGAGAAACGCTGGCCTAACACACTTTCTTACAAGACTTAGGTGATAACAAGCCAACTCTGGGGGAGCTATTTAGTCAAGAAGACAAAAAAATAGAAGGAAGATCAGCCCTCCCGTTATGGTCAGACCAACAGCAAACCACATTTTAGTAACTGCCCTTTAGTTCTAGGACCTGCTCATTCTGCTTCCTCATGCGTCTTCCTGAAGCTTGACCTCTGCTCATTTCCCTCCAGCCAATAGGCTGACATGTCAAAACCTGGCAGCTTCCCTATGAGAGAAGTTCTGAGTATCTCAAAATCTCAGGCTGGGTTTTAGATCTGACATCGGCCTGATCCCTCTCAACACGAAACAAGCGTACTTAAGTTGTAGCAAAAAATGAACCCTTGCCCCTCTCCTTTTGTTGATTTTCTAAAGACCATTTCACCCTACTCTTGAAGACATAGTTCGAAATCTCACCACCGTGGCATGCAGATGGTCCCCCCCACAGTCGTATCTAACCCTACACCTCTGCATCTTAAGCCACTTTGTCCTTGTCTTATTTTACTATCAGTGAAGATGAAGGCCAAAAACACTGCCTGCCCGTCTCTCTTTGGATTCTGCCATTTGGCTCTTTGAAGACTTCTCAAAGGAGCAGCACCCACACCATTTCAGCACGCTGACCACAGGGCCTTTGCAATCCTTGTTCTGCTTTCGACCACACATCTAAATCCATTGCAGCATTTCTCACCTGGAACCACCTGAATTTATTTCTTCCTTCACCTTTGTGCTCTGTCCCCTGATGAGTGACAGCATCTTGAATGGGCATCTAGAGACGCTATATTTTTAATCCAGTCTGAGCTAATAGGCCTGGTGCTCTGTGTGAGAGAGACCATGGAACAGTCATATCCTTCTTTTATCTTCAGGTGCCTTTGAACACAACTCCTTCTTCCATTAGCTCTTAGGGTGAAAGCCTCAGGCCCATCAACTCTTGTTCATAGAACCCAATATACCACCTCACAAGCTCCACAAATATCTAGGCTTCAAATTCCAATGTGGTCTCAGCTGGGATGACATACTTCATCAGTATGGCAAGTCTTTTTTTTAATGTTCGTATTTTTATGCAATCCAATAGTTCAAGTACTCAGAGAGCTTTTTCCTTGTATAACAACAAATCTCATTCTGCCAGCTACTGCAGTCTCTTCCCTTGTTCACTCTGTCACAAAAATCTGCCACCCCATAGCAGGTGTGCCCATTCCGAACTTTTTTTTACCTTCCAGCCTCCTCTTCACATCCTCAATAGCTCATCCTATGAAAGGTACTAAGAAGTAGAGACATAAGCAACAGAACACACAAGAGGAAGGAGGGCACCCATGTGCTATAGTAGAAAGAGCAGTAAGACTAATTCAAGTGCTAAACTGGGTCACGTCCATTTCTCCTTCTGGGCCTCAGTTTCCCCCTTATAAACAGAAGAGTGAATTCAATGATCTCTCAGAGGAATTCTGGCCTACAATTCTATGGATCTGGACAAACGCACAAATCAAATCAGAAAAGCATGGACTAAATGATTTAGGGTTGATCACATCACCTTCACAAAAAACGCGATGCTTCTGGCAGAGAGGCTGCAACGTGTGACATGGTACAGATGGAGAAATCACAGACTTCTGTGATGCGTGTGTGTGGCTGCTTGGAATTCACTTTGGTCTGAACTCACCGCGTAGAATGGGAGGGCTGATGAATTCCAGGTATTGAATGTCTTTGTGTTACATTCAGCACCATGACCCTAACACATAAAGAAAGCCACCTGGAAGAAGGTGGCTATCTAACAGAAAACCCCCGTGGGTTGTAGGAACTGGTGTTTGAGCCAGCACCCATCCAGGAGCCGGTTACAGCTCAGGGGCTTGCTGATCTCACTCTGTGTTTACATCCTTTCTGCATCTTTGCTTGATTTTGTTGTCTCCCTCCTCCAGCGATCACTCCATGAACATGAAGAAACCCTGGTCATTGCCTTGTATGACTACCAAACAAACGACCCCCAGGAACTCGCGCTACAGCGTGATGAGGAGTACTACCTGCTGGACAGCTCTGAGATTCACTGGTGGAGAGTTCAAGACAAGAATGGGTAAGCATCTTTGTGGCTGCTGTCCAGCGTTTGCGGTGAGGTGCGAACAAAGAAAATCCTGGGGTGATTGATCCTGCCTTGCTCAGCATGACCACTGCACTGAGTTAGGGGAGGGGAACAGAGGCAGGAGAAAGAAGGCAACATTTGTTGAGGGATGTCTTGCCACTTCTCAGACGTGGCTGGGAGGCAGTCACTTGCTGTGCTTGCTCCCTGCCCCCCAGCAAGCCCTCTCGGCCCCTAAACTCATCTAAAAATCACCCGGGATTTTCCTATTGACATCTGCCATTGGAGGGATTGGCGATTTGTTCCACGAAGAAGCACTATGGAGAGGCCATATAAGAAACAGGTTCCAGACTGCCTGGCTCTGCGAACACCAGAGGACCTTACTCAGAAATCCGTCCTTTCAATCCACTGACACCTATTTCGCACACCTGAGGTGGGAAATTTCTTCCCCTAGGTCTCGCTTTCCCAAATGAGTTTACCCTTTGTTCAGTGGCCTGTGGAAAGGCTTAACTCTGCACTTCAAAGGGCTTTGAAGAGGACACCCCAGAGGCCAATGGGCATGTGGGAATCCCCCTGCCCTTTGCTGTCCAATAGTGCCATGCTGTGGAAAGTCCGCAGCGGGGCACGGCGGAAGTGCTGGACTTCAGTATCAGCTGCTCTTGTTGCTCTGACTTAAGGGGCTTTGAAAAAGTCCCTTAACCTTTGTGAATGCTTCTCCTTACCTATAAAATGCAGATGATTCTATCAGCTTTGGCTGTCCCAGAATGTTGAGATGATGAAAGTGAAAGGGCTTTGTAAATGCTACATCCACACACGAACGAAGAGGATTACCATCATTAGCTAACCCAGGTTTGGTTGGCATATCAAAACACAGTTATTCTATTTGAAAGTAAAAATAGTACTTTGACCTATTAATACAATTGTAAACATATGGTGCGACAAAAGTGATATAATGAAGGGGAATTCCCAAAGAGGGATAGAAAAGAACTAGCAAATTTCAGAACAAGTTGACTGCCATCCGTTGGCACTGGCTGCAGTGAGCACTGTGTTGAGGAGGATTCTGAGGCTGGATGTCTAACTCTCAAAGGAAAGAAAAAAAGCACGCCACGACTGACTAGCAATGTCAGTCATGGGCACAGGAAATGAGCATAATCATAGCATATTTGACATCCCCATTCTTGCTTTCTTCAAACTTCAAAACAGTTCTGTGAAATACAGTACACATTCTCCATAAACATAATATAATCGCTAGAATGAAAAATGGCAAAGCACTTAATGTAGTAAACAGCAGTGAATTGCCAGGCATCCTCTGATAGACTGGCAGGGTGTGGAGGGATTCTGTGTGTAATCTAGTTTAGGTCCCTCGTTTTACCGGTGCAGAGTCGGAGGGCAAGAGAGGGAAGGACACCGTTCTCGCCTTGTGGGATTAAACGCAACAGTGAATGTGAAAGTGCTTTGAAAAGTACTAACCTACATACAAATGTGGAGTGTTTTAATGCACTTATTAGTCTCCTAATCTTTGCTTAGGCACAATTATTTATTCCTGCTCACAAGAGACTCCTACCCCCAAATCCAACATGGCTTTATCCTTTTTTGTCATGTGTTACAATTTATGTCTGAAGGAGCTCAATTAACAAAAAATATTTGGGAGGCCTTGAATGAAAACTTACAGTGTTGACTGGCAGTATCTTTTGGCACTTGTGGTTGGAAAGTAATTTTTTAAAATATTTTAATTATTTGGGTTTCCTGACTATAAAATAGTAGCATTAAAGTGGAAAAAGCAGTGATCATCACACCCAGAAAAATGTTTCCTTATAGAAAATAGAGACTGCATATCGATCTTTTTTTTTTTCCAGTAGAGCAAGGTTCACAATGAGGACAATAGCAAGCAGTGCTTCTTAAACAAAACAGCCAGGTCTTATTTATTATGGCTCATATTTTAGTAGTGAAGCTTTTGCCTTTAACAGGTAGAGAGTTGCTGTTATTTTTAGCAAGGCTTTTATTCTGAAACTTTAAAATGTCTTATCAGGAATGACAAAAAACGTGAGGCTCTCTCATCTATAAGTGACTTTGGTGATCTAAACTTTTAAAACAGAGATGAGAAAATGAGTCCTATATCAGTCTAAACATTGATTTCCCTTTTAACAGGCATGAAGGATATGTACCGAGCAGCTATCTGGTGGAAAAGTCCGCAAATAACCTGGAAACCTATGAGTAAGATATTGTATTTATTTTACAAAAATATGGCACTAAGGAGCCCTCCTTAGATTAGAAATAAATTACTTGTTGATTATAACATGACCCGGCATTTTCTCTTCCCCCCATACTCGGATTTCTAAATAACGGTAAAGGAACACTTCAAATAGGAGAAGGGGGAGGGTTTGTGTACTTACCTGCCTTTTATCAAGAGGATGTTTCTCAGGTACCTGTGCAGATTGTAGTAAAGGAAAAGGCTCTTCTGGAAATACTAGGAATGTTGATCTTAAATGACAAAAAAAAAAATACCATGAACACTGGATCAAACACAAGCTGATAAACATGGTTTAGTGTGTCCAATTCTAAAAGAGCTGACAAATAGGTATTATATATCTGCTAGTTTGTGTTGTTTATTTCAAGCTACCATTTAGAAGTGTTCATGTGGATGTAGTTTTAATGGAACTACTTAAAGTTTAATGAAATAAAATTGTAGTGTACAGAGTACTCACCATGTATATACAGATTTCCTAGCTCAGCTGCTGAAAGACAAAGAAGCAATAACAGCCCAGTAGCAATGTATACACCGGATCTTGGTTTCTAAATAACACTTCCCAATGTAAAGATCCAGAGTTCTTGGAGAAATGGTTTGGGGATTCAGGGGCAGGGCAGGGAAAGAACAAGATGAACTTGGAACATCTTATGCACCAAAAAGTAAAGAAGTAACGATCAACTTTTAAAATGATGTTGGCATGTCAAACAAACACAGAAGTCAGCTTTAATATGTTCCTTCTCACCAAATGGTCCACCAAATGGACTACAATCCTTTGAATGAAATAAGAATCCACAAGAAATAGATAGCTTGATAGGTCAGTAAATAAGAAGAAAAAAAATGAGAAGAAAAAGTTCTTTCTTACCATAGAATTTCAACTAAAAAATGTAGAAGGAATGATAGAGTTTAAAAATCAATATTTTGTAGCTCAAAGTATCAACTGACTCAGGCAAGAATCCATCAATGAATATCCCAATTAGGGGGTGAACGTCAGATATTTACACAGTCTCAAAGTATCTTTTCTGATCAATCACTTGTCACTAAGAAAGTGGAAATACCTGGCAGACTGCATCTTAACCCAATAATCAATAATGCAATAGACAGACATTGTGTGTCTCCTGACGTGACACATGGAGGACACAACATCACTTTCATGAATTTCCTGCAAATGTGAATAATCTGGGTTTAGTCATGAGGAAATGGGAGACAGATCCAAAGTGAGGGGTGTTCATAAAGTCATTGGCCTATGCTCTCAAACATGCAATATCATGAAATATAAGAACAGTTGGGAAATTGGTCCACATTGAAGGAGACTAAAGGGACATGGTAACTAAATGCACTAGTAATCCTGGATTGAATCTTGAATCATTAAAAAAAGTTATAATACTTATTATTGGGACAGTTGATGAAAGTTGAACAAGGTCTTAAATTAAATAATAGTATTATATCAATGTTAAATTTTCTGATTTGGATCATTGTATTATGATTATGTACGTGTATACTCTATTTCTTCAAAGTACATACTGAAGTCCTTAGAAATAAAAGTCTAATTTCAAATGGTTCATAAAAATATATATATTTATCTATCCAGAGAAAATCATAAAGCAAATGTAAGCAATTGTTTTACCTGGGTGATGTATATACGAGAGTTCTTTTATAGTACCTTACAACTTTTCTATACACTTGAAATTATTTACAAGTAATTTTTAAGTCATTACCAAATATATGATACTATGGTTAAATACTAGCTATAAGGACTTCTATAAACTCATGTGAGTCCTTACTAATTCAAATATGGTCAAGTTATTTGTTGCTGAGATTTGAAAACATTCCATAGTGAAAACCTATCATTTATCTTCTGAAGCGTCTCTGAACCTGAGATCGGTTTTGATGAAGTACTTGTGAGTAGCCCCTGCCACTCAGCTAAAAGAGTCAACAGTTCCAAGAATCTTTGAGCGACAATGCCAATGCCTTTAGAAAAAAATAGGCATTTATTTCAAATGCTCATCAGGCTGGGAAATTTTGCTTGTTTTGTATTTCAATAGATACAATACAGGAGACAAACCCAAATTTCCAACTGTGTATAAATAATAGGGAATGGTGGAGCTTGCGGCAAATAAACAAGTATATTCCCCCTCCTGAAGGGATCTCTGGCCTTCCTTATCTTTCATAAGTAAATCACAAAAAAAAATGTTTAAATTGACATACGACTTTTTTTTCTGCTTTCAGGTGGTACAATAAGAGTATCAGCCGAGACAAAGCTGAGAAACTTCTTTTGGACACAGTAAGTTTCTACATTGTGCTGTTGTTTTTCAGCCACGCTGTGGTTTATGCCAATGTGTGAATCAATATATTGATTTAACAGTGGTTTTCAGGCCTGGTAAAAATATTCTGGGGATTTACAGGACAAGCATGCAACAAGATAAGAGATCTGGGAAGGGTCTGGAGCCTTGGTCTTGGCAGGCGTGACGTGTGTGGCCTTGGTAGCCGCAGGTGTAATGGTCCTTCAGCTGTGAAGGCTGACACCAGGGAGCCATGGAACTGTCCTAGCCACCGGCTTGCTGCCGGCTTCTCTGGCTGGGGGAAGGGAGGCTGTGACTCAGCTTCTGCCTGCTGGAAACGTGGGTGCAGAGGAAATATGCCACAGTTTTAACTCATTTTTCATGCAACGAGAGCCATGCAGTGTGAGTGGCAGCCCTGATCTTATCAGGGATATCAAGATTAAGGGACAGCGGGATAGGAAGAGAGAAAGCGTGGTACAGTGGGAAAAGTGCTGGGTCCTTGCCCCTGCTCTGTCACTAGCTCAGTGTGTGACTTTGGGGACATCTCATCTTTCTTGTGGGCCTCAGTGTCTCAGTGAGAAGGAGATGAGCATTGGGCTAAATCAATTCGTTTATCAGCATATATGCCTAGAGGAGCGGTTCTCAGGCCTGTCTGCACATTAGAAGAACCTGGAACGCATTTTAAAAACCAATGCCCAGGCCAATCCCCAGATTCATTAAGTCAGTCTCTTTAGGATTGGAAGGATCCAGGCATGAGTAATTTAGATAAAAATCTCTCCAGCCGAGTCTAATATTCAGGTGATATTGGTGGCCAGTGCCCAACTCTAGCCTTACCAGGGAGACTTGTAAACAGTAGGGAGGAGTTCCTGCAGGCATTGGTCTCCTTGTGCCAATAGTCCACACTGCCCCTGTCGTTTCACCATATACCATCCTCCAGTTCTGGTCTGAAAGTATTTCCTGTCTCTGCAAATCTCTCCTGGTGGAATGAAGCTGCAGTGGCCAACTCATCCCAGTTTGCCTGGGACTGTTCCACTGTTAAAACGGAGACTCCTGTGTCCCAGGAGTACCCCCACCCCAATGCAGTCCCGGGCAAACCAGCCGGCTGGCCACCCCAACCATCCATGATTTTGGACAGTGGTTAGGAGTGAGCCTTGGAGAAGGAAACCTGGGGAGATGTCAGGAAGGACATGAAAGGCTGTGATGGGAAGGGGTGATGACTATTCTCAAGGAATAATTTAAAGACAGGGAGTTCATTATCAATATCTATTTACTTTTGCACAGGAAAAACTAATAATAGTTTGCTTCATTCTATCAGAGGGAAAAAACATATGACATCTGTAAGAGGAAAATGGGAGGGGAGAAGAAAAATCCGCAGTCATATTTGGGAGCAGTGAACCTTCTTTTTCTTCTCTGGGGAAGTTGCTAATAGCAGGCAGCAAACAAAGAACCAGGGGAGATGTTCTGCCCTTGGGCAACTTGTCTTCATCAAAGAGGGCAAGCCTGGTTGTTTGTGGATTCTCCAAAAGACCGAGCGTTTCTGGTGACTGTGAGCACAGGCCGTCTGTTATGTCCACTGTCTCAATTATTGCTCATCTCTGTTACAGTAGCTTTGCACCATTTCCTTTATCAGGACTTCTCAACATAAACTTGGGGAACTTACCATTTTGCTGAGCACAGGACTAAGGACTTAGGTATGCTGGAGACAGGATCTTTGACCTCAGTGAGCTTTAGACTCTATTGGGAAACAAAACAAACTCTGAAGAAAGACTTAGAGGATAATCTAAGGTAAACTGGGAGCATATGAGGCAGGTTTTCAGTGGTCTGTGAGTCCAGGGAAGGTGCTAGCGGAGTTAGACAGACTTCGTGGACAAAGGGAATCGAGCTGAGTCATTCCTGGACTCTGGTTCCCACTTGGTTCCACACTGACTTAGCGTTTCATCTTTCCCTGTGGTTCTCAATAGAACCACTGGGAAACTTCTAAAAATGCAGATTCCCAAGGCCCACCCCAGACCAACAGATCAGTATCTCCACACTGAGTTTCTGGGAATCTGTATTTTTCTCAAGTCGAACTTGAGATGCATATGTACCCAGCTCAGCACCTAGTTCCCCAACCTACGTGATTGAATAATATACTAAAACTTGACCAATTGAGAGGAATGAAAAATTATTTAAACACCTGGATGATACTAAGTTTAAACAAGTGCAGTTTTGTTATTTTCAACCACACCTATAAGTACTCATGAAGCGTTGCCCATGAGAACTTATAACAGCCCACAATACAGTTCTTTGAAGGGACTAAAATATATACATTCCAGTTGCCCTGATAGTTGACACATTCCTCCTTACTAACATTCTGAACTACTTGACCAAATCCTCTTTGCCTCCTTAGGTACTGCAAGGGCAAACTTCAGTGGTCCCTGTGGTATATGCTGTTTAAAACAACAGCTGAATAAGTTTCCTTAGGGTCTCCTTATCTAACAAGTATGGGACCACTAAGACATGGATTGACTCATTGCAATGAACCAATAATGGATTTATTTCATTTTTATTAACTAAATCTCCTGATGTACTGCCCTATACATTTTTCTTCACTAGGACAGAAACCCTTTATCATGTGCCTGCTATACCTAGGAACCCAAAACTCTACCTATGACAAAGTACATCAAATGCTTAATAAGTGTTTTTAAATTAACAGCTGTGCTTAAGGAGAACCTGGCTGATTGTGAGCATTATTGGGGGAGGTTTTCAAAAATACAAATTCCAACACTCTGGCTCTCACCAATCAGAACCTCTGGAGGTGACATCCAGGTGATTCTGGGACCTCCCTGAGCTTGGGAACCAAAGAAAAGCATTTCCGATGGTGTCCTATCAAGTCTTCAGATAACACCTCCTCCAAGAAGCTGTGCGTGCTTTCCCTCTCCCTTTGAACCCACATGGTACAATGTCAGTACTTCTCCATGGCACTGTTCTCACAGTGGGCCTCAGGAGTTTCTCTTCTGTCCATACCCATTTTGCAGAGGGTACGCTTCTTGCAAGCAGCCCCTCCATACCTTTCAGCATCACATGCTTGGGCAACCTGAATTTCCAGCAGGAGCGTCATCTTGCACATTGATTATCTTATGTCCATGCTTCTAAATTGTCACTGAAGATGCAATATTGACTTATGAGTGGATTTGTCTCAAGAGAAGAAAAGAACCAGCTCTAGACTAAAGAGCAGCTATGTGTCAGAATCTCTTAGGGTACAATGTGGCATGACAGGTGATGAGTTATCCCTCCATCTTTTTTTGCAATAACCTAACCTATGTGTCAAGATTATCTCCTGTAAGGTAACCTTCAAATATAGGGACAGAAAGAGAGAAGGCTCATTCTAACCCAGTCAACCTGTCTCATACGAAAGCAGGAATTAATACATCCAACTGATGGCAACTCATAGCACGTGGTGATAATGGCAATGACGGTGCCAATAATCCTGGTGCAGGTATCATAGTCCTTGATATGTTCAGGAACAGCTCCTTGTGTAGGAACTGTTCTCAGCATCTTACAGTAATTCTCCCAGCAACCTTACAAAGATCATTTTACAGCCCAGAAAACTGAAGCTTATACACGGAATCAGGAAATATCTAGAATTCACAGAACTATAGACCGTTAGAACAAGAATTCCCTTTAAAAACATCTGTGTTATCCCTTTTGTGTTATAGGCGAGTACACTGGAGCCAAGTTCAGAGCATGAATCAGTGGCATAGTGTGTACTTGCACAGGGGTGCTTCTTACACACACATGCACGCATGTGCACACACACAGTGTACAAGAGGATATCGGAGTTAAGTTCTATTCTCCCATCCCTATTTTTTTATCCATGCATTTCATCTCCTTGGAATGATTTTTTTCTCTTCTTACCTGTTTACTTATTTTTTCCACATAAAGTATAAAAGGTATATAGAGACCTTGAAAACCCCATGGGACTCCCATGGGTGCGAGGTTCCCCACCCCGCCCGCCCCGGGCTGCATTGCCTGGTCAGTGCCCCTAGTGTGGTGGCGTTGTGAGCAAAGACCCGTCAGGCCCCCATGTTCTTGGTGGCTGTGACTTCCTCTGAGCCCTTTTCAGGAAGTAGGTGGTACAGCATATGCTGGATGCCTCATTTCCTTCAGTACTCAAGGCCACCTCAGCCCCAAACCAGTTTCCTGTCACCATCACTGACTGCCACCTAGGACAACGACCACGAGCTCCGAACCTCCCGTGCTCGGAGGAGGCGGCGGCTGACCTCACCTCGCCTTCCTCCGTCTCATGTCTGAGGATCACTCTCGTTAACAGTGGAGCTCTGCTCTGATCTCCAGTCTTTGTCCAAAAAGTAAATGGCTTCTTTAAAAGAATACCAACAGAAAATGTTCTTAACTAAATAGAAGAGATGTTCACACTCCTCTCTTCACAAGACTGTTGGTAACTTTCTGGTCTTTTTGTGGTACATGTTTCTTCCCCTTTAGAATAAGTTACATATGCAGATGGAGTCACCTCTTCCTGCCTTGAGTTTAACCCATCACGTTTCAATGAGATGAGAGCAAAAGCTTCAGTATTAGGCAAAAGGAGAGAAATTTTGAAGACAATTTATGCTACGTGTAATGTGTGGATGAACGTTACAAACATAATGAGAGATAAAATCGACATCTAACAATGTACAAGTTTAAGGGGCACAACATGAAGATTTGATAGATGTGTAAATTGCAAACTGATTGCCACAATTAGCACCCATGGCCACACATAATTACAAGATTTTCTTCTCATAACTTTTAAGATCTACTCTCAGCAACTTTCTAATATACCATAGACACTTTCAAATACACAGTTCAGTACCATTAAGTGTGGTCACCATGCTGTCCATTATATCCCCATGACTTGTTTGGCTTATAACTGTAAGTTTGTACCTTTTGGCCAACTTCACCCAATTCCCCCACTCTCCAGCTCCCCTCTCAAATTTCAAAAGAGACTTTTGAAACTCCCAGCAGAGATAAGAAGAGTTTGGGGAGTTTCACAAAGTTTATGTGGTAAACTGTATGTTTGGCAAGAATGAACAATATTGTAAGGGCCAATTGTCCCCAACCCCCCCCCCCACACACACACACGCACACAGTCACACACACATCCTGGAGGTTCAGGGCCAAGTTAGAGGAAGCAGGTTACGTGTCTGTGCAAGGTGAGCTTCATGACTATCAGTGCTGTTTTGTGAAACAGAGACCATTCATCAGACTCTTATAAAGAAGAGCTGTGAGTTTAGCTGAGTCAGTGAAGGTCAAACTTGAATGTCAGTAAGAATCACATGGCCAGCTTTTGAAAAGTTCAGACTTCAAGAATTCCGGTCTTGGAGATTCTAGTGCATGGATATGGGATGGAGCATGGTCAGCTGCTTGCTGTCACTATTTTGTTTTTTCTGGGTAAATGTGATCATCAGCAATGTTTGGGACACAGAGGTTTAGGTAGTTAGGCTGGATCAGTTGTTCTCAACCAGAGGAGATTTTGTCCACCAGAGAACACTTGCTTGTGCCTGTTACCCAGTTGTTAGAGACCAGGGATGGTGCTAAACACCCTGTAAAACCTCCTACCACACAGCATCATGGAGCCCCAATGTCAACAGTGCTGAGGTCGGCATAAGCCTGGACTAGATAACCTCTGTATGGCCCTTTCTAACCTCAAGATTCTAGGATTCAAACAATCAGCATGGCCATCTGTGAGTATTATTTGTATGTGTAGACAACTCACCTTTGAGGTTGGGGGATGGAGGGGCCAGTGTTGTTCTGAATTGTATGCAATATGCTTCACCTGCTACAAATATAGGCCCACCATACCAGGCTTCTGGCTCCTCTGGCCTTGACTGAAGGAACATACTATGTCTATGTTAAGTAAATCAACTAATAGGTTTTGCAAATATTACCAACAGATTTATAGCTGGGTGGGAACAGAGCGTTAGGCAGAAAGGACTCAAAACGGAATTAAGATTTTAAAGTTCCCACCAGGAATGAGTAAACGGGTATATTCATTTGCTTACACTGATTTTATCAGTGCTAGCAAAATTGCCAGGGGGAATGAGGGGTGCATATTTGGGTCTTTCCCTTCTCTCCACTTCTCTCATGCAGCCAGAAGTTCGTGTTTTTCTCCTTTTGCCCTACAGCAAAGTCAGCACTTTGAAAAGGGCCTAAAAATATCTTTTCATTAAGGAACTGATGGAGCTTCCAGGACAGGAAGCTTATGCCCTTGTAGGGGAATGGAGATGTGGCTTCTAACATTTGTTGAATGGAGGCATCATGGAGTAGTAGAATGAGCATCCCTTTGCTTACAGGCCAAGTTCAAGGTTCAACTTCCAGGTTGCCCACTTAATGGTTGTGGGTCATGAGAAAGTCACTTCAGCTCTCTGGCACTCAGTATCCTCATCAGGAAATTGAAGATAGTGACAGCTAGATTGCAGTGCCCTGGTGAGAGTGGGACAGTATCTGTAATAAACCTGGTACATGGTGAGCTCCAAGAGGGCAGAGCTTATGTCTGTTTGCCTTCATCACTACCTGTATCACCAGTAGAACAGTCTCTGATCCATGGTGAGAGGTCGAGACATATCTATTGAATGCACATACAAAATGGTGGCCATTATTGCTGAAAGTCTGCCCTATACCAAACTGGCCTACAGAATTCCCCCTGTTCACATGCAAGGAAGTTCATGAGCTGGGTGCATGAGCCTGGTTTTCTGGGATCACTAAGCTTCCATTTCTTTTAACCATTCCAGGGCAAAGAAGGAGCCTTCATGGTACGAGATTCCAGGACCCCAGGAACATACACCTTGTCTGTTTTCACCAAGGCCATCGTAAGGTATGGTGCTAACCTGCTCATCAGTGTTGGGTGAGATGGTTCTGAAGTGGGTGAGGAAGGCAGCACACTCAGCAACGTCAGGCAGAGCAGGAGGTCGAGGGGTCACTGGGAATGGTGTGCTTTCCCTGATCCCACTGAGAATGTCAAGGCCAGAGAAATAAAGGATGTAACTGTGGTCACTTAACTGGCAAACGACAGAGCTGGGACTGGAGGCCAGGTTCTTTTCTCAGTTAGCATCCCTGAGTGCAGAGCTATAAGGAACTAAAACACCTGGCTCTGTATTTGATGAGTTTATAATAAATCACATAGAATAATAGAAAGGTACTTCTGAATAATAAAAAGGAAGCGAGAAGATATGAATGCTAGTTCCGGCTCTGCTAATAATGAAGCTACCTACCTAACCATTTACTGAGTCCTTACTATGTGCCAGAATGTCACAGACCATTTCCAATCCTAATAAGCCCTGAAGGCAGGTGTTACTATGCTTCTTTTACAAACAAGTAACTGAGGCTCAAAGAACTGCTGGTCCCAGTCTGAGGCAGTGGAGATGCATTGGTCCAGCCCCTTCATGCTTCCTCCAGCTGCCGTCAAGGCTCTCACTGCACGTTTGCCCCTCTCAGGACTTCAGCATCCACCTCCATAAAATGACATCAAATTCTCTTCTAGTGCGAAAATGAGGAAGAATAAGAAGCTTGTCAATGACCAAAGTGAAGGAAGAATTAAGAGGAGAGAGAAAAATAACTATTAAGGATTTCTGGGAGGATGGAGGATGTGAACAAGACTCAGAGCATGAGCCAGGGTTTAGAGAGGTGACAAGGAGCAGGGGTGCTGGCCGGGGGTGGGAAAGTGTGCAGTGCTCATCACAGTGATGAGAGTGATCTGCCACTCCATCAGATAGGACGGAGAAGTGAGAACTAAAGCTGCGTGGGATCCCCAAGGTCACCCCCAGGCTTGGTGATTCACTGGGAAGACTCACAGGATTCGGCGTACAGTTATACTCAAGGTTAAGATTTATCACAGCAAAAGGAATCAAAACAAAATCAGCAAAGGGAAAAGGCATGTGGGGCAAAATCCAGAGAAAAGCACACACAAGATTCCAAGAGTCCTTGCTCAGCAAAGTCACACAGGACAAGCTGAATTCCTCCAGCAGCAAGCTGCAACCACAGGGCCAGAGTGGCGTCTACAAAGGGAGCTCACGAGAGACTCAGTGCCCAAGGTTTCCACTGGGGGCTGGCCACACAGGCAGCCTCTGCCTAATGCAGAGCAAAATTCCAGGCTCCCAGAAGAAAAGCAGGCAGTGGGCAGAACCACATTGTTTATACAAGCAATGTAGGCCCAGGGAACCACCCATGTTAGCTAGAGTATGGTGAGAATCCTCCCCAACTCCAAGTTCTCAGACACCAAGGGCCTGCCTGGCAAGCAGGCCTTTCTAAAGACAGCAGTCAGGGCTGCTAGGTTAACTCTGCTGTACACATCAAATTGGTGCAAAGGGGCCTGAGATGTCTCCTTAGCACATGCTGATAATTAGTTAGAATCACAGAGCAGGGAAGGCAAACATGCAGCCCAGGTGGGACCACTCCCCATTTTGCAGCTGGGGAAGAAACATCACAGCACTGACTCTACTCGGGTCCCCATGCAGCCTCCGAGTCCTCCATACAGCACCCAGGGCAACCTGTCCACACTGGCACGGGTTGAAATATATCGGTCGTCCTTGTGAGGGTGAAAAGCGAGGCTAGTAGGAATCCGATACCAGTCAATGCTGCTGTGTCTGAACATTGATTCTTAATCCCTGCATTTATGTTTTATGTCTTTAAGTGAGAACAACCCCTGCATAAAGCACTATCACATCAAAGAAACAAATGACAACCCCAAGCGATACTATGTGGCCGAGAAGTATGTGTTCGATTCCATCCCTCTCCTCATCAATTATCACCAGCACAATGGAGGAGGTGAGTCCTAAAGGACAAGGGGGGGACCCTCACACAGGAGCTTGCAGAAAAGTGACAAGCACCTAGCCTGGTGTCTTTATGGCAGACAAGCTGACCTTAAATAATAATTAAGTATACAAATAGAAAAAGATGCCAAATATTGGATTATAGTATGTATTTCCCATCAGCAAATTCTGCTGTTGGAAGCATGGGATTTCACCACCTGCCCACCTGTGTTTCTGATTGTTCTCAGAAGGTATAATATCAATGATTGGGCTTTGTGTTTTATTTCTTCCTGGCGGCTTAACTAGGATGGTGAGCACCGTGAAGCTCTAACCACAGCCTTTTGCTTTTTAATTGATCCAGGCCTGGTCACTCGGCTTCGCTACCCGGTTTGTTCCTGGAGGCAGAAAGCCCCCGTCACAGCAGGGCTGAGATATGGTGAGCAGCGCGTTCAGGAATGTTAGACATTTGCACTAAAACTCACGTCCCTCAAGGTTTGGGACAAATCTGAATGAACTTTCCATGAACCTAACTCTTCCCCAGACCTAAAATGACCATTGGAACAGGCACACTGTGTATGTGGAGATGGTGTGCACAAATCCACATTTATGTGTGTGAGAGTTATCTATAGGACAACGTTTATCTTGGCCAAAACAATGTTCCTTGGTTTTAGTTAAGAGTTCATCAGTGAAGTGTTTTCTGGGTACCTACTTTGTACAGAGCACTCTACTAAATGTGACTGGAAAAATACTAGGTAACAATGCCCTAGTACTATGTCCTCACCTTTTCTTCTAGAAGTTTGTATTGTCTAGTTTGTCAGATATGGGTTCATTGCAAGGGCTGTAAGCTGGCAGCATCCGTAAGTATTTCTTTGCACAGTGTGAAAAATTTTTTGAATGCCATTAGGAAGGGCATGAAGCTCCTGTGCCACAGGCCCTACTATTCCTTCTTGTCCTGTGGGACTGCTTCAGCCACTTGTGGTATCTACCCGGAACTCAAAAGCAATGAGCTGGCATCCCCTTGTCCAAACTGTACTGGTTGAGAAGACTGTAATTTTCATTTGATATCTCCCCCATCAGCTGTTCTCAAATCTCAGTGTGCATCCAAGTCATGTGGGATGCTTATTCAAAATGTTGACTCCTGGAACTTCCAGCCAAGATGGAGGTGTAGATAGGTACATTTTACCTCCTCACACAAACAAAAGAAGGACAACAAATTTTAAAAAAACAACCAGAACTGACAGTAAATCAAACTGTATTGAAATCCAACAACCAAGGAGTTAAAGAAGAAATACTCACCCAGACCGGTAGGAGGGGTGGAGATGGGCAGCCGAGCAGAAAGGACTTGTGGCAAGGCAGCAGCTGGCAGACCCGGCGGTCTCACATTCTCATGTAGACAAACCCAGAGGAACAACTGGGGAGGGAGACAGACCACACAACCCAGGGCTCCAGCGCAGAGAAATAAAGCCTCAGAACCTCTGACTGAAAACACCTGTGGGGGATGAGGCAGCGGGAGAAACTCCTAGCCTCACAGGAGAGTTATTGGAGAGATCCACAGGGTCTTGGAATGTACACAGACCCACCCACCAGGGAGTCAGCACTAGAAGGGCTCAATTTGCTTGTGAGTATCAGGGGAAGGGACTGAAAACTGGCAGAAAGCAGAGCAAGTGCCATTGTTCCCTCTCAGACCCCGCCCCACATACCACATCACAACCTAGCGAAGTGGGTTGCCCCACCCTGGTAAATACCTAAGGCTCCACCCCTTACTACATAACAGGTGCATCAAGACAAAAAAAAAAAAAGTGGCCTAAATGAAAGAACAGATCAAAGCTGCAAAAATAAAACTAAGAGATGAAGAGATAGCCAACCTATCAGATGCACAGCTCAAAACACTGGTAATCAGGATGCTCACAGAATTGGTTGAGTATGGACTTCCGCCAAGATGGAGGTATAGGTGGATGTGCCGTGCCTTCTCACACAACCAAGTTTAGGGACAACTAAATATTAGCACCAGAGAACACAACCAGAACATGGAAAATTGAACTTTTCGGAAGTCCGTTAACAACAAATTCTTCAGTCCGACCGGTAAGGGGCGAAACCGGCGTCTCGTGAGGAGTTGCACGGGAGGGCTCCGGTCGGACGGACCCAGGCGCGGAGTCCAGACGCGCGAATCCAGACGCACGGGTTCCAGGCCCAGGGTTGGACCTAGTGAGCGACCGAGCGACCCACCGGGTGAGCGACTGCTGAGGAGACGGTGGGGAGGCGGTGCTGCGTGTTGACTGCGGTTGCCTGTCTGCGGGCGAGCGGACGGGCGAGGGAGTGGGCGGTTGGACCAGCCCCGCAGGGCGCCGCCATTTCCCCGCTCTGACCACGCCCCCACATACAGCGTCACAACCCAGCGACCTGGGAGTCCAAGGGCCAGAACAGACCAAAAATGTCGCAGGAAGACCTCAAAGCCCCAGAGATAAATCTAAGCGACGAAGAAATAGCAAAACTCTCAGATGCACAGTTTAAAACACTGGTAATCAGGATCCTAACAGATCTGGTTGATTATAGCCACAAATTAGAGAAAAAAATGAGGGCTATGAAAAGTGAAATTAAGGAAAATTCCACAGGAAACCCACAGTGATGAAAAGGAAACCGGGACTCAAATCAACGAGTTTGGATCAGAAGGAAGAAATCAAACAGAAAAGAGTCAAGGAAGTTCAACCAGGAATTTAAATTCCAAGAATGAAGAAACAAAAATTCAAAAAAATGAGGAGAGGCTTAGGAACCTCTGGAACAACTTTAAATGTTCCAACAACCAAATCATGGGTGTGCCAGAAAGAGAAGAGGAAGAGCAACAAATTGAAAACTTACTTGAAAAAATAATGAAGGAGAACTTCCCCAAGCTGGCAAAGTAAATAGACTTCCAGGAAGTCCAGCAAGCCCAGAGAGTCTTAAAGAAGTTGGACCCAAGAAGGAACACACCAAGGCACAACATAATTACATTACCCAAGATTAAAGATAAGGAAAAAAATCTTAAAAGCAGCAAGAGAAAAGGAAACAAAGGAGTTCCCATCAGACTGTCAGCTGATTTTTCAAAAGAAACCTTGCAGGCAAGAAGGGGTTGGAAAGAAGTATTCAAAGTCATAAAAGGTAAGGACCTACATCCAAGATTGCTCTATTCAACAAAGCTACCATTTAGAATGGAAGGGCGGATAAAGTGCTTCCCAGATAAGGTCAAATTAAAGGAGTTTATCATCACCAAACCCTTATTATATGAAATGTTAAAGGGATTTATCTAAGAAAAAGATGATCAAAAATATGAACAGTAAAATGACAATGAACTCACAACTATCAACAACTGAACCTAAAAAAAGCAAAAACAAACTAAGCAAATAACTAGAACAGGAACAGAATCACAAAAATGGAGATCACATGGAGGGTTATCAGCAGGGAGGCGGAGGGGGAAGAATGGGGAGGAAGGTATAGAGAATAAGAAGTATAAATGGTAGGTACAAAATAGACAGGGAGAGGTTAAGAATAGTATAGGAAATGGAGAAGCCAAATAACTTATATATACGACCCATGGACATGAACTAAGAGGGGAAATGAGGGTGGGAGCAGGGTGCAAAGCAGGAGGGAATAAAGGGAGAAAAATAGAATAACTGTGTAACAGCATAATCAATAAAATATATTTTAAAAAATGTTGACTCCTGGACCCTCCGCAACACTTACCAAAACTATCCCTGATAGAGGGGCCCTGGAGTCTGCATTTTAAACAAGTGCCCAAGGTGATTTTGACCCAGGTGGCTAGATGGTAATTCTTCACTTGCTATGAGCTCCCATTCCTAAGGAGCATCACATCTGATACACAGTAGGTACTCAGAACCGTTCTCTGTTGAGTCTCTGCTTCAGAGGTAGACATCAAACTGTCTGTGATTGTAGACCAAGTGTCAGGATAGGAACATACCTCTTTAGTCTCTTTATGAAAATAAAGTTATTCTAATAACTGTAAAATTCCAATGTATCCATGCTGGATAGGATGTCACAGATTAATTACGACCCCACTCATCTTTGTCAGTGTGAAAATTGAGACTCAGATCCCTTTTATTTGTTTATTGAACATTTACTGAGAGCCTACTATGTGCCAGACACTGTACTGGCTGGCCCCTCTCTCCCAGTCCTTTTAAATCTAATTCCTTAGCCCCCACCCCTGCTAAGGCCTAGTAGAGTGCTGTGTACATAGTGGGTGCTCTTGATGGTTGAATGAATGAATGCATGACCAGCTTAAATGAAATTTGCTCTGCGTGAAAAATAACAATAGTACATTTCAACCAGGTAGAGAAAATGGTTGGGACCTTACAAGAACCTTTCATTTACTTTCTTTAATATCCTGTTTAATGCCATTCTCCTCTCTCTTTCCATGTAATCTTCCACACATACGTTTTTCATGGTTTTAAATGCATATCCTATGTTGTTATTTAGAAAAAAGATAATAATTTTATCTATCTATGATAGTTCTAGATCTAGGACTTACAACATTTGCCATTTGGGGGTTATATTAACGATAGGCTAACATTCTGTATAGGGCTATACAATCTCCTGGTAGCCCTATCCCTCATATTGATTGCTTACCAACCCTGGAAAACCCTGTGTCTCCTCCAGGACAATGGGTGATCCACCCCTCGGAGCTCACTTTTGTGCAGGAGATTGGCAGCGGGCAGTTCGGATTGGTGCATCTTGGCTACTGGCTCAACAAGGACAAGGTGGCCATCAAAACCATTCAGGAAGGAGCTATGTCAGAAGAGGACTTCATAGAGGAGGCTGAAGTCATGATGTGAGTGGTCCAAATAAGAGTATGAACAGATGCCCTGGGGAGCATGTTCTGTGTTGTGCTCTTTACACAGCACTCTGATGCCGCATTGTGCCAGCTCCCTGCTCAAATCCAGCAAAGGCTTCCTATAGCACAGAGAATAAAACCCCTCTCTCCCTGTGGTCTGCCAGGCCTGTCATGGTCTGGCCCTGCCTACTCATGAATCTTATCTTCTACCCACCTCTCCTCTGGTTCACAACACGCCACCCACGCCGGCCTCCATTCATCATCACACATACCAGCTGGCTCCCTGTCATCCTTCCGGTCTAGGTTCAAATGACGTGTTTTCGTTTTTGTTTGGCGGGGGTGCACTTTGCAGAGATTGAGTGTGGACCATCTCACCCCTGACTTTTTCCCCCAGGAAACTCTCTCACCCCAAACTGGTCCAGCTGTATGGGGTGTGCCTGGAGCAGGCCCCCATCTGCCTCGTGTTTGAGTTCATGGAGCACGGCTGCCTGTCGGATTACCTGCGCAACCAGCGGGGGCTCTTTGCTGCAGAGACCCTGCTGGGCATGTGCCTGGACGTGTGCGAGGGCATGGCCTACCTGGAAGAGGCGTGCGTCATCCACAGAGACCTGGTAAGAAGGTGCAGGGCAGCCGCCTGCAGGCCCAGGAGGCAGGGCCCCTGAAATGCTGAGCTCCCAAGACAGGAAATGTGGTAATCAATGACAAGTCACAGGCCATCTGCCTTTCCCTCCCAACCTCCTCTTTCTCTACAGTCTTTGGGATGTCCTAGTGGGAACATGTTTCATGAGGACTGAGGTCAGGGCTCTTAGATCTCAGCCCCACCCCTAACTTTAACCCTGTGTGATTCGGTCTGCATTCTTCGAAAAAGAAACCAACAGCCTCTTTTCACTTCTCTGTGGCCTCTTGGCAAATGAAGGAAGCTTTTCAAACATCCATTTTTTTTCCCAAGCATTATCGCAGGAACTGCTGGAATCACACTGGGGTGACCCTAAAGTTCTCCTCAGAATCTCTGGGGGTTGGAGCCCAGGAATATTTATTTTAGCATGCCCTGCCCGTTGGCACGCTAAAACTTGAGATTCACTGGAGTCTATTGTCACATTCTGTGCCACAGTCTGGCACAACCAGTGCCACATTCTGTGATAGTCATTGGGACCAGGTACTCTTCCTGCTGAGAAATGGTTCCAAGAGGATTAACAACCTCAAAATACTCCTATTTTAGTCAAGTGGGTTACAGTCTCTTCCCAGCAGCCCTAGTGTTAACATTATTTTTATCACATCAGGTTGCATTAGATTAGAGCATGTCATTGGTTAAACAACACCGTGGATTTCTCTTCTATTTAGGACCCCAGAAATGAAGATAAAAGACCAACCTTACTCATCCTGATCTAGGATCCCATGCTCACCTTTCTAGCTAACTTCCAGCAGGCACTTGTAGAGCTTAATCAACACTGGTAAAGCTCCATAGCACCCTTGTACAACTGCACATAGAAAAACTAAGGGCCAGGATTATGGGAGACTCCTTCATTGTTGACTATCCACACTTTTCTTGGTCTGTCTCTTCTCCAGGCTGCCCGAAATTGTTTAGTGGGAGAAAACCAAGTCATCAAGGTGTCGGACTTTGGGATGACAAGGTAATACGGGAGGTGTTGTCCCCCAGCAGAGCCTCAAGAATGGGACTCAGCCCCCCAGAACACTCTGACATTCTCTCTCCACTCTCTCCCAGGTTTGTCCTTGATGACCAATACACCAGCTCCACCGGCACCAAGTTCCCGGTGAAGTGGGCTTCCCCGGAAGTCTTCTCCTTCAGTCGCTATAGCAGCAAGTCGGATGTGTGGTCCTTTGGTGAGTGTCACCCTGGCCCCATACCCAGTGATCTGGGTCCACTTGCCCTTGAACTCTGGGTGGTGAGGGAGTTCCACTGGCAGTCTGTATGAAGGGGTCCTCATTATTGTAGTTATTCTTTAAAATCTTCGGAATGGGGAGAGTGAAAATGAGAGTGGACACAGGATTCTGGTGACGGCTGCTGTTGAGACCAAAAGCTGGAAGAGTCAGGAGATCAGAATGTGAGTTCCTCGAGGGCCAGGACCAATTTTTTCTAATATTATATTCCCACACTTAATCCTCAATAACTGTTTGCTCATTCATTCAACAATTTACAGAGCATCTGCTATATACCAGGGCCTAATCTAGGTGCTCACAATATAGGATAGGGAAGACTCCTCTTGGAGCTGAAGTTTAGGAGGAGGCAGATTACATAAACAAACTAATCAACATGTTTGTAACTTCTCAGGTAGTGGTAAGAAAGTGATATGAATAAAACAAAGTCATGGGACAGAAAAGTCTGTTTCTGTCCCATAATGGGATAGAGAGAAGGTCTGTTTTAAATCATGGGACCTGGGAAGGCCTCTCTGAGGAAGCGACTCTTGGACAGAAATATGAATGATGAGGGGGAGCTGTCTCCATTCAAAGATCCAGAGAACAGTATCCCTGACACAGCAACCAGCAGGTGGGAAAGCTTGTCATGTCCAAAGAAAAGGAGGTGAATGGTAGGTGACGAGGTTGGCAGGCCATGGCAGGAACTTAGAATTCTCACAGGTAAAAACAGCCACAAAGAAGAGGCAGAATGAAGGATGTTGGTGTGGCAGGATGTACTAAATATTCTTGCTGGATTTGTCACGACACCCTAAGCTAAAGCATGCACAAAAACATAGCAGACAACCTCTCTGATGTGAATTATAAGAAGGATCATACTTTAGGCAGTACGAACAAGTTGGAGTCTGATTTTGGCACTCTCTACAAAGGGAAGGTTTGCCAAGGATACTGACTGGTAGTTAAAACCAGGAAGAAGCTGACTAATGAAATCTCTTAGGAGAATAACTAGTTTTAAAGTCTTCTCCAGCATTTTAAAATACCCATTTTCAACAACCAAGTGATTTGTTAATTCTGAGTCCTTCTGAACTGTTCCTTAAAATGATTCCCCTGTTCAACAGGCCTTAACTATGATTTTGTTAGTCAAATTTAAGTTACAGAATGAACTTGGAAGAAATACAATTTCACTAAAGCAATCTCAGAATATTCTCCTTTCCCCAGTGTAACTAGAAAGGGTAGGGCTGATGCGTGGCCCCTCCCTGTGGGTGGTACAGCTGATCACGCTTGCACCCTGCCGGATGTCCCATCCAGAGACATTTGCAGCCACCGCTGCTTTGGCACATTCTCCTTCCGACTCTGAATGGGGTTTATTCTGCCACAGATTGTCAGCCTGGGAATTCACTGCTGCATCTTATAATTAGAGGGGCCCGCTGACGTCCATCCCTGCCTAGGATGTGTCATCTGGAGTGTCCAAAGATGAGATTAGCTGACAGAAGCAGAGTAGAAAGGGTGACAAGGGTGACAAGCCTGAGAAACAGAATCCTGGGTGGTCTGAGAGCTTGACGCCTGCCTCAGGCCACTGCCCTTTGTCACGCATTCTGAGGTTTTTGGTGTGACGGGTATATCTTAGGCAGAAGAAGAAAAGAGATTAAATCAGGTTGTCAAAAACGGACAACCTGAGGACATGTTTTGCTTGGTCTACACGGTATTTTTGAAAATCAAATTGAGTTTATATTTTAAAACTCTCAAGATACGACTTCTTTTGAAAAATCAGAAAATGTGGATCCTGAGCCCTCATTCCCTGGGGCCCTACTTCGCTGGAGCCAGATTACAGCGGTCCCACTGAAGCAGAACTTTTAATCTTCGGTTTTCCACAGTCCTCACTATTCCCTGTTGTATACTTCATCCACTTAACTTATTTACATCATGTGTAGAAATTTGAGTTTCCTATGTCCCTATAAGTTTCAGTAGTAACATCTGAGTTAGATCTAAGAAAAGGCTGAGCTTGGCACTTCTTTGCCATTGAGAAGGTTGGGAAATCTCTTCTTTAGAAATAAGACAGGCCTAATAACCCTCAGGTGGTAGGGACTTGAATCTTAATGTCAAGAAGCCTGTGATTTCTAGAGGTACATTTCTTTGTGTGCTATTTGTAAACATTATCATTAGCTGTGCTACACTCCCCATTGCTTGTAGGTGTGCTGATGTGGGAAGTCTTCAGCGAAGGCAAAATTCCATATGAAAACCGAAGCAACTCAGAGGTGGTGGAAGACATCACTACTGGATTTCGCTTATATAAGCCCCGGCTGGCCTCCTCCAATATCTACCAGATCATGAATCATTGCTGGAAAGAGGTCAGTGAAGGAAGTGGTTTCCCATTGCATTATAACCTATGGCTTCTGGGTCTGTCCCCTTCCCTAGAGAAAGGAACCCTTTTAGAGGATGAGTCAGCAGGGGTGAATAAAATAGATTAACAGGAAAGTCACTTTGAGAGTCTTTTAACTAGAGAGGTTCCCCATTCCTGAAAGATCTGGTAGTAACCTTAAATATCATTGATTTGCTATATAATGCCACAAGCCATCAGTATATGGTGAGAGAAAAACAGGGTAAAGCTATGTCAATGTTTTTTGAGGAAAAAAACCATTGTGTAACATTGTAAAACTACTGAATATAAAGTTAGCTGTATAAATTGGGGATTAGAAGTTCATTTGTGCTGTGAAAATATTAAAATGACTTGGAGTTCATTGTATTCATTCAACAATTCAGAATGGGAATCCAACAACTTCTCAGTTATCCCACACTTGGGTTGCAGGCTGGGCCTTGAACCACATCAGCAAGAGTCTTAGATGTCCTTTGTGAGTTAGGAAATTGTGAGTTTGGACCAAAGTTGAAAGTTGCTGAAATAGTGAGTTAATACAAATTCAGATCATTGAAGGGTAAAAAGGTAGAATTGAAAAACCATAGAATAATTGGGTTTTGTCTCAGCTTTGCCCTGTCTTAGTCATTAATTTTAGACAATTCCCTAAACCTCCTCTTTCTTGCTGGTAGAGAATTAAATAATGCTTGATTTGTAAGTTCATAGATGTAAGTTCATAGACCTTTTATAATTAGAAGCAAGCAAACCAACCAATGAGGACACAACACAAATCTAGTCCACTTCACAAGGGTAATTATGATAGCTGACATTGATTTAACAGTTTTTTCTCTATTTTTAAAGATTTTATTTATTTATCTTTAGAGGGAAAGAAGAGAGGGAGAGAAATATCAATGTATGGTTGCCTCTCATGCATCCCCTGTTGGGAACCAGCCTGCAACCCAGGCATGTGCCCTGACTGGGAATCGAACTGCGATACTCTGGTTCACAGGCCTGCGCTCAATCCACTGAGCTACACCAGCCAGGGCTAGTTTTTTCTCTTTTTAATTTAACAAATTTTACTCTTTAGAAGTTTTAGATATGCAGAAAAATTGAATACATAGTATGGAGTCCCCACATGTCCTCCTCCCCGGTGACTAACACTTTGCAGCCGGTAGTATGTTGTGCAGGTCTACCACCTTTGACAGGAGTGCAGTATGTTCCTGCATCATACTACATGGTACTACATGATCATACAGAACTACAGGACCATGCAGAATGGTGTTACTGCCTTTAAATCCACCAGGCTTCACCCATATTTATTCATTCCTTCCCCAGTTCTCCCCAAATCCCCAGCAACTATCCAAGTCCTTCCATTTCTAGAATGTCATATAGCTGGAATGTTGTATAGTAGGTAGCTTTTTCAGATTGAGTTCTTCCACCTAGCATTATGCATTTAAGATTCTCCCATGTCTTTTTGTGGCTTGATAGCTCATTTTTTTATCACTAAATAACCATCCATTATATGGATACGGCCCAGTTTGTTTACTAACGTACCTACTCAGGGACACCTTGGCAGCTTCCAGTTTTTGGCAATCATGAATAAAGCTGTTATCAACTTTTGTGTGCAGGTTTTTGTATGGACATAAGTTTCAGCTCAAATTAGGTGAATATCTAGAAGTGTGATTACTGGATCATATGATAACATTACGTGTAGGTTTGTGAAAAACTACCAGATTGTCTTCCAAAGTGGTTGTACCAGTTTGCATCTCACCAGTAGGGAGAGCTCTTGTTGCTCCACGTCCTCACCAGCATTTGGTATTGTTGGTGTTCTGGATTTTAGCCATTCTAATAGGTGGATGAGGGTATCTCTAAAACAAGTGGTATCTTGTTTTCATTTGCAATTCCCTAATGACATACGATGTTGAGCATCTTTTCATTATATTCACTTGCTGTTTCCTTATCTTCTTTAACGAGGTGTCTATTGAAATCTTTTGTCCATTTTTAAACCAGGTTGTTTTCTTGCTTTTAAGTTTTAAGAGGTCTTTGTATAGTTTGGATATAAGACCTTTATTAGATACATGTTTTAAATTTATTTTCTCCCAGCCAATGGCTTATCTTTTCATTCTCTTATTAATGGTGCCTTTTACAGGTGGAAGTTTTTTATTATAACAAAGTTCAGCATCATTTTTTTTCCTTTACGGATCGGATCATGCTTTTGATGTTGTATCTAAAAACTCATTGACACACCCAAAGTCACTCCAATTTTCTTCTATGTTATCTTCTCAAATTTTATCAGTTTTTCGTCCTATGTTTAGGTGTATGATCCTTTTGAGTTAATTTTCATGAAGGATATAAGGTCTATGTCTAGAATTGTTGTATTGCATCTAGATGACCAATTGGTCTAGCACCATATTTTAATATTTAAATCCAGCAGAGGGTACTGCTATTGAATTCTAGTGTTTTTTTTTTGGAATTGGCTATGACACACAAGTACAAGGAACTCAGAGCTCTTTTCTTCCCTCTCTAGAAACCAGAAGACCGGCCACCTTTCTCCAGACTTTTGAGTCAACTGGGTGAAATTGCAGAATCGGGACTTTAGCAGAGACTCAGCTGCAGACCCTGAGTAGGGGAAGAAACCCTCCCTCCACAGAGCATTAAAAGCCGCCACCAGCCCAGGACTCCCCAGAGGCAGCTGGTCTGTGGTGCCAGTTTCTAGGCTGCCCCAGAGGCTGGCGCTCAGCCACAGTCATGTGGCTCGGCCAATGAAGCGAGAGCAGGGCCACAGCAGCGGCCATGCCTCTCTCTATCCTCCCTCCAGCCTCTTATCTCGGGTGGTGCACAAACCTCAATCTGACAGCTTCCGGCAACATTTCTTGCACTTCTTCTTAGAAAGAGAGAAACAGGGTAGGGCCCTGGACTGTTATTTTTGTTGTTATTTTAAACATGGATCTAAGGTTAATGGTCAAGGGACTTTTCATTTGACCCGGCAACATAAAATCCCAGGGGATGGAACAAGAAGACCTGAGGAGCGTAACTCTCTATCAAGGAGGACAATGAGTTAATTAAGGTCTGAAAGAGTAAGCTCCTTCGTTGTGATGCTGTTGGCCACAGCTTCCGGCCACAGATGAAGGAGCAGCTGCTCACCTCAGAGGCCGGATATCCTGAGAAGCAGTGTTATGAGGCTTAACTCAGAGCACACTGCCACCTTTCTCCATGAAGGGAGAGTTATGGACTTGGGTGAACAGTTCCGACCCCAGAGTTGGAGCCCTTGGGTATCTGGTGTCTGGGCAGAAAGAGGGCATCTGATGGTAGGGAACCAAGTGGTACTGAGAAAGACCTTAGGTTGTTATCACACGGATGCTCACCCTTAGTACGAGCCAGGCAAGGTGACTATGCCTCCCCTTCTGTACAGAACGCTTCTGCATGCATCCTAGGAGGAAATGGTTGCTTCTGAACACACACTCTGACTGAGGACTCCATCATCAAGTCCCCTGCCACCCCCACCATGAAGAATCAGCCCCCTCTCTGCCTTCTCCCATCAACAACAGAGGGCAGCATTATGTTGAACAGTGAGTGATGTCTGGCAAAGAAACTGAAACTGGTTTAAGCCATATAGATTTGCAGCTTTAAGGGTGAGACTTTCAGCCTCCCAAAATTCTGAGAGAGAAACCAGGGGTCTGTTCATGTTCAAACCATCTGGATGGACACTGAGGCCGGCACTAAGTGGGGTGCTCCTCAGAGGCACAGTGTTGGCCACTGTTGAAATATGCAGGGTGAGTATGTCCTGAGTTACAAGACTTCTCTGCAGTTTATCCCAAGTTCACACCAACCTGGTGAGTTAGTATTACTCTTCCCACTTTACGTATTGTAAAACTGAGGCTTTCAAAAGCCAGGACACCTGCCGAACGTGGCAGAGCTGGGAATTAAGCCCAGGATTCTAGTTCACATGTGTCTGACTCCGGTGCACAGTTTCTTTATTCCTATTCAACATTGTCTTTTACCAAAGACGAAAGGAACTGATTGCAGAGGAAATAAATACAGCAGAGGGAAAAGGCAGAGAAAGCCAATAAAGACATCAACACAGCACCACCAGAAAGTAATGTTGTTCTTGCATAGACCACAGTGGTTGGCACTGTAGTCCTCCCACTTGGGAAAGGATCTTCTCTTTTCTCATCTGTAGCTCCCCTTTGTCAGAGGTAATGAGATTGGACTTAGTTAATTAACCCTTTGAGTCCCTCAACCTAGCAGAGTCATGTTGCAGAAAGCCATTTAGGTGGCTTCAAAGCAGCTCGGGAAGATTCTCCTGCAGAAGTATGTAGAAGGCTTTATTTATTCCAACTTTGAGTTGGCTGCAGTCTTCTTGGACACTTTGTAGGGATGGGTATTCCCTGATGTAAGAGAGAGTTAGTTTTCCTACAATGTTCAGAAAAAACTCAGGATGGGATTGTTGGGTGGTATTGCAATCAGCTCTTTCTAAACCAGCTAATATTTTGATTGGCTGGAGACCCAGATGCATAACTTTTAACTACAATTATTGTGAAACTGGAGGCCCCAAGATAAAACTCCACCATTCATAAGATGATCTTACTCAACTTATCCCAAATAATTTATCTGTACTTGCTGGCATTTCGTACATTCTCTTTTGGAATCTGTAATTAGAGATGATTTCTGGAACATCCAGCCTACAAGGAAAACATCGGAATTGACTGATTTCTGTGGTCTGGTTTAGGAGACCCCCCTCACTTGTCATTATCTTGTTCAAGCTCAGGTTCAAGTGGTCTTAGCTAAATGCATGTAGATAGTTTCCCTCCCATTGTCCTAGCCTGCAGAATGGGCTTCTGGCCTGTTTTTTTGTTTTTTGTTTTTTTTTGGTTTTCTTTTTCAATCACTTTAAAAATGGTGCCACATGTTCACAGGGAATTCCCTTAAACAAGGTTTTGATTCTTAATGCATTTTATAGTTTTTGCCTTTTGTACCTTCTGAGACTATGTATTTATATATGCATAGATGGGATATTTATTAGTGTACAGTCATTGCTAGCATTCACAATAAAAATATTATACATGTCTCTTACCCTTCATCAAGCACACAAAGTTAAAGGTCAGGTCCAGCATATAAAGCTGCCCATTTTAATAACGATAGTATGTACAGCCTGGGTTTCCTATGTGTCCAACTGTCGGCCACACATATTCCTTAAATAAAAATGGTTACACAGTTTCATGTCCCACAGGTCAGTACTTCAACATTTGTTCAATGGGTAAACACCAAACGCTTCCTAGGTTCCCATGGCACCCTGTGCCGAGAACTGCAGAAACAAAGATGAAAAAGGCAGAGTCTTTTTGTGTGAGAAACTGCAGGCGTGATTGGGAAAGGAGACATACAAATAAGTGAAATTATATATAATACAGCAATTAGAGCAATAACAGAAATATGGTCAAAGAAGAGAGGAGCTCAGAAAAACCGATGAAATCTCCCTCTTAATAGGGGAAGGTTATGTCGCTTGCTACTCAGAGTGTGGTCCCTTCCCCAGCAACAGCAGAAAGACCAGACTGTGAGATACGCAAATTATACAGCCTCACCCCAAGGCCCACTGGGGTGAGTGTCTACATTTTAATGAGATCCACAGGGTCCTGTACACAGGGAAGTTTGGGAAGCACTGGCCCAGGGGAAATAATGTCTGGCCCAGCTTTGAAGATGAATTATGGTTTTTATTTAAGGTAAGCAAGTGGGCAGAAATAAGAGAAACACTTTTCAGGTTGGGGAGCAGAGGAAACAGAATGTGTTGGAAAGCTGTTACCAGCTTACCGTTGGTGGAGCACTAGGGGTGTGGGTGTGGTCTCCGTGAGGGTGGGTGGGGGTGATAGAAGGGGCAGGCAAATTGAAAGAGGTTGTAATTCTAGGCAAGGACTGTGTTACAAAAAAAAATGAAATCGTACCTATAGATAGAAAAGATGTCACTGAGCAAGGAGATAAGGCCAAATTTGTGTTTAAAAATATATTCTGGCCTGGGCTTGTGTGGCTCATTCGAAAGGTCTTGGGTTTCATTCCCAGTCAGGGCACACGCCCAGGTTGCAGGTTCAATCCCTGATTGGCACACTTACAAAAAGGCAGCCAAATCGATGTTTCTCTCTCACATCAATGTCACTGTGTTGTCTCTCTCCCTTCTTTTCTCTCTCTCTAAAAGCAATAAAAAATATCCTAGGTGAGGATAAAATTTGTTTTTAAAACAAGAAAGAATAAAAATGTATTCTGGCAGCAGCATGCTGAGTGGATTTGAAAGAGGCAAACTGGTGGAAGAGAAACCAATGTGGATGTGATTTGCTCCTTGCTCCTAGTACCAGATGATTGTTCATTCTCATTCACTGTCGTCTGCTCTGTGGGTGACATGCAGAAGTTATAATTCAGTCTTAGGTCACAGTTGCATGGGAATGAATAGATGTTCCCCCTCCCTCTCAAAATCTCAAGGAAAGACAAGCTGGGGCATTACTTTGGGGGGGGTGTTGAGCTCTCCCTGTACCGTTCAGTTCACCAAATGCCCAGGTCTGTGCCAGGAGACAGTTCGGGAGCCAGAAGACCCTGAGGCACAGGTGAGAAAACCTGCAGCTTCCACGCGGTCCTCTGCGTGGAGCTCACCTCCAGGCCTGACTCCCACTGGCAATGACCCAGACGGGAAACTTCTTTATGGGGTTAGATGAACAGATGTGCTTCCCAGGGCACTCATTCTGCAGACTTTACTCTCTCTGGAATCTTCCAACACTCTGAGGTCACCGCCCTGAGGAACGGGCAGAATACACTCCATTCGGCAAGATGGGGAGCCTGCGTGTGCGTGCCTGTGCTGAGGGAGCCGCGGGCTCCCTAGGTAGAGGGCCTTAAGAAGGCGGTCTGATGATCAGGAAGACAGGGTTGGAGTTGGACCTGCATTTGCATCAAAGCACATATTCTCAATTAGATAAGTATTTATTTGCAGTGGCTTTGAAGGAAGTGTCTGCTCCCCAGAGCCACCCCTAGGTGGCAGCTGTGTGTGTGTGCGTTTCAATGACTTCCCCGTGTCATGGTGTGTAGTTGGCATGGGAAATAACAGAATCATACAGATGCTGTTACAAAGAGTTATCGAGATCCTTTATTTCATAAGTAGTCACCATCTATGTGCTATGGCACTGTGTGAGGTGCATGAGATGAATAAGATGTCAGTTAGGGACCAAACACATCATACTCACACCAAGATAATTCCCGCAGGGCTTATTTACAAAAGGACTCTGTGAAAATAGTGTGGGTAAGGTTTAGGAGAACCACAGGAAGTGACACAGAGGAGAAGAACAGCCAAGGGTCAGTCATCACCCCCCAAGCCTGGGCAGACAGCTGGGCAGTGGCCACTTGAATGTGGAAGCAGGGGGTCACTGGAGAAGGTTGCCTTTGGAGAAGAGGACCTTTTGTGGGGGACAGAGGAAGCCCATGGCAGCATCTCAAGGAGGAAGCAGAGGAACAAATAAATATGCTGACCCCACTTTTCTCGCCCCACCCCCATCAACTGCTGAGGCTTCTTGTTAACCGAACCAATGGGAAGCCAGAGGCCAAGGAGACCCTGGAAGGGTAGTCCACAGAGGTCAGTCTCCAGGGAGGGCAGCAGCAGGAGAAGAGCCGAATGGGCAGGAGGAACAAGAGACATCCACCCGTCTCTTCCCCAATTCCACGCTTGCAGCCATTCGGTGGGGTGGACTCAAGGGCCACCTACACTCGCCTGAGAATGCAGCAACCCTGACCCCATTTCACCTTGACTATGTTTTGCCATCCCAGATCCATTCAGAATATTCTCAGATCCTCCTTCTCAGTTCTTACCCACAATTACTGTGAACAGTATTTGTTGAACTAACAATGAAATGTTCTTTGGTATCAGTTATGTGTAAAAGAGCTGACCTTCAAGGGAAGCCAGTTCTCTAGAAATTGTGGGAAATGAGCAAAGTGAGGGGAAGACAGCAGAGAAGGGAGGGAGTGTTATTTCTAAACGGCCCAGGGTGGAGCTGCAATGTGTCAACAGCAACACATCCCTCCATATTTCATCTATAAAGAAATAGACCCATAGATGAAGAGAACAGACTGATGGGTGCCAGAGGGGAGGGGATTTGAGGGGCAGAGGCTGAGTTGAAAAGCGAAGGGATTAAGAAGGATTGGTAGTTACAAAATAATAGTCACGGGATGTAATTTACAGCATAGGGAATATAGTCACTGATATTGTAATCACTGTGTGTGGTGCCAGGGGGACCACTTTGCAAAGTACCCAATTGTCTAACCACTATGCCATACACCCGAAACTAATACAAAATAACAGTGAATGTCAACTGTAATTGAAAAATAAAATGTGAAAAAACAAACTCAATATGTGAGAGCAATACCTTAAAAATATTTATTTCATCTATAAAGTAATAGGGTGACTTCTAAGGATTTTGTGAGGATGAAATGAGCCCAGCCATATACAATACTTATCACAGAGGCTAAAACATTTTTTAGTTTTAAATATATTCTTTGAAAAATTATTTCAGATTCAATGAAGAAAATGGATAACACAGTTTTCTATGGAAAGACCAGCGTCTGGGGCCAGCTGACCTTGAGCAACCCTTCCCCTTTCTGGGCCCCAGTTCTTTCATCTGTAAACTGAGGCCATTTTGAGCAAAAGGTCAGGTTTGATTTAATGGGCCATGTAAATTGTGTAACTGACCATTAAGTTTTTCTTTTCCTGCTAACTACACGGACCAGATGTGTCAACCTTCTGTAGCAATATAGAGATTTTTGGGGTATTACTCACAGTTTCTCTCCATCTGAAACCCTTTTTCTTCTTTCCTTTAAAATTCATTACTTATGAAAAACATTTTAAAACAATGCATCTCAGTAACTTTCATTAAACATGTTTTTTGGAAAAAGGTGGCATATTTTTTAAAAAAGATTTTTCATTTATTTGGCAGGGGGGAAACATCAGTGTGTGCTTGCCAGGAGCTAGAATAAGGTGGCATGTTAATAAATACATGGTTTCAGTTGGCAAGGGGGAAATGAGGCTGTAGATAATTTTGGTTAAAAGCATGAGTTTTGGTTTCACTACTTGGACAACTTACTTAACCTGCCTCAGTTTCTTCAATTATAAACTTGGGCTAATAATTATGTTTTTTCTCATAGGAGAATTGTGAATAGTAAATGAGGCAATGCACTTGGTAAGCATTAGCTATCGTTACAAATATTAGTATTTTTTTATTTCTTCCTCCCAAACCAATTCTTATGTCCATTACAAATATTCCACCATTGGTTCCTATGAAGTAGGGTCTGCTAATGGATTTTGAATGGAAACTTGGTGTCCTAAGTAACTTGAGGGTGTTCTAAAAACATAGCAACACTGCCACACACGAAAACACAATGCATGGGACACAGCTCTGCAAGGGGCAAAGCAATTCTCGCTTTATCACTGCGGTCCTCTCGTGGCTGATGGTGCCGACGGGCCGGATGTAAAGGAAATCTGAATACAGTAGAAAGACGTCTATGAATTTCACTGGCAACATGTAAGATTTCAGTTCTGGTTATTCATTCAACCCACTTTTACTGATCTCCTGTTTTGTACTAACTAGTCTCTGAGGTCACAATGGCAAGCAAGATGGACTCATCCCTTCTCTTAGGTTTAACGTTCTGCTGATGGAATGCAGGCAAGTGCGTCCACAGTCACAAGTCAGCGTACAAGCAGAACGACAGAAGAAACCCAGGGGTCTAGAGACAGCTCACCTGAACCAACCCCAGATGTGGAGGGATCTTGGATGAAGTAACATCTAAACATATACCAGAAGGATGGATAAAAGTTGGGCAGCAAAATGGGGAAAAGAGTGGAAGGGGGAAGGAAAGGAGGACAGATCATTCCAAGCAAAAAAAGCCCAAATCGTGAAAAGGTCACAAGAGAGAACACAGCAAGTTTGGGGAACGAAAAGACTCCCTTCATCTGAAGCACAGCAAGCTCGTTCATGGGAGACAGTACAGATCAGGTCCTGAAACCCCGCACAGGCCGTGGGGAGGTGTTCGGGCTCTGTGCCGAGAGTGGAGGGAGCTAGTGAAGTGCCCAAAGTGTGGCCAAGGCAGTTCCTTTTTTTTAACTCAAGCGATTTTCCACATTCAGAAGGACTTTGGAGTGTATCCAACCTACTTCGCTCTGTAGAAGGGGAAAGAGGGAGGCGGAGTGACTTGCCTAAGAACACTCAATTGCAAAACGAGGACAAACAGGCAAGCCTCTGAATTTTCCAACACAGTTGTTACAACAAGACCCTGCTGCTTCCCCTTGCAAGTAAATAAAAGTCAGGGGTCAGAAAAAGATTTTTCCCTAAAATCTAACCAAACAGATATGTAACAGTCTCCTTTGTTTTTAAGCGACTTGTTCTTAAACGGTGAAAAGATGGAGAAGGAACAGGGAAAATGAATGTATTACAGAAATCTACACCATCCACAATAAAACTCCCTTTCCAGTCAAAACCTATCTATTCTCTCACTATTGTGTGTTTGTAATCACTGACACTCACAATCCCAAAAATCACAGTAGGAAATGTAAAGATTTTTTTCTTTAAAAAAATAATAGTTTTTTAAAGAAAGAAACCTCACTTCCACTTTTTAAAGCCATCCTTCAGAGACACCCACGCTGCTTCTCACATGGCATCAGGGACAGAGACGTGTGTGTGTGTGTATATATATATATAGCCAAAAATAGCTATTTAAATTAGAGTGATGTACTATCAAACCGCAGAGGATGATGATGTCTGAGTGCTTAGGAAATGGTGGGAGATCAGGCAGGAGAAATACTGCCAAGCCCTTTGCTGAGACTTGAGTAACTCGGCCCCTCTATACATAGCCCCTGAATAGGAGGAGCTGAGTGATGAAGCATGCATTTGTGGGCCCTGGGCAAACATTTCCCTTAAATCTACATACCCCTTAGATTGTCTCAAATGCTTTCCAATTATTGACCCTATAAGGTAGCTAGGGCTCCGACATCTCAGGAACAGAATAAAGAAGTGACTTACTTCAACGTTAGAATTTAACGTGGTCTGCCTTCAGCCTGGTCTGGAGGGTGCATGGGTGTCAATGAGAAACATGACTTTGGTGAGCCCTAAATGACAGATTAAGCCTTGAAGAGAAAGGTGTGTGTCCTCTCAGTTCCCTCCGGGGTTTGGCCAGGAATTATCAATACTTCTTCATGTCACAATGCCTTTTCCTTTTTGTCCGCTAGGCAGTTTTTCCTGAATGAAGTTCAGGCTGGTCCTGCTTAAGAGGTGGCAGCTTCAGGGATTCAGCTTTAAGGAACTGAAAGGAAATGCCAGAAGTTATTCTTGACAAGGGAGCAGTATTAGGGACCAGATTCAAAACGTCCCTCTCCCCAAGCCTCAGGCTTTTCTCACCTTGCCCTGTTCCCTTCCTTCACAGAACTTCTCCTAGCTGTAATTGGACATGTGCTAGGTTAATTCGTGTGTGCCCTGTCTCTCTTAGGTGATGACAAGCTCCAAAAGGTCAGGGACCGCATCTTTTGTACACCAGTGCATACCCAGCTCCTGGCAGGCTACTTGGAAAAAGTAGGTGTTCAATAAATATTAGGTAGATAAATAAGCCCTCGGAAATAATATGAGATCCCAATGGAGCCCAAAGCTTCTGTCCTGCCACCGCTGCAGGCGTGGTTCCAGGCATTCGGAGACTGGGAACAAGTTCTCCCCGTCTTCTCCACCCCCAGAGCAGGGCGGCTGGCTGTCCTGGGGCAGAAGCCAGAGTTGCAGGTCTGGGATGCACAGGCCGCGTAGTGGGGCACACCCGGAGCCCCTCGCCGCAGCCATTTCCTCCTCTTTGTGTGACAGCCGCACCGGTTAAGGGGCCGGGCACGGAGGCGGAGGAGGAGACTGGGCGAGAGGGGGGCGGGGCCGAGGGCGGGGCCGAGCGCCGCGGCTGGCTGAGCGGTGCGGTGCAGAGCCTCCTGCGCCCCGGCGCGGGGCCCGGTGGTATCTTTGGGCCGCTCCCCTGAACCTGCGGCAGAACCAGGTAAGCGGCTTTCGCAGGCCTGGGGCCGTCGAGGGGACCGGGATGCTGCTGGACATGGCGATGTGACTGTGAGGATGCGCAAGGGGCCGGCGCCCCTTCTCCCAGCCTGCGGGGGGCGCTCGGCGCAGCGCTCCGGCTAGCGCGGCCTGAGGGCCCTTGGAAGCCTTGGAGGCTGGGCCCCAGCCCCTGTCCGATTTCCTTGCCGCTCCGGCCTGTCCGGGGCTCCGCAACGTGGATCTTCTGCGGGGAGGCGCGGACACGCGGAGGGGTCTGGGCGGGTCTGGGCGCGGCGGCAGCTTCAGCAGGTGCACTGCCCGGGCCCGGAGCTGCGGGCCAGAGAGGAAACAGCGCTAATCCCTAACCCCTGAGACACCTGCAGCGACCGCGAGCCTGGCGACGGCGACACCCCCGCGCGCAGGTAGTGCGTGCAGAGCGCCAGCCTCCTCCTCTGCCGCCGCGTCCACCATCTCCTCCCCCAGGGCCAGCGAGAGCCGCCTGGGCCCGCCTGGCAGCTGCCTCGGGCAGCCAGAGCCCTGCAGTGAACCTGAGGTGGGTGGGGCGAGGGGGCGAAGCGGCGCTGTTTGCGGGTAGGGGTTTTAAAGAGAGAGGAGTCTCGTCTGACCCGCTTTGAAGCCTCCAGGCCTACACTAGCTGCACTCTACCTCCCGGCTAGCTGGGGGCGGGGAGGAGGTGGGGGAAGAGGATGAGTGGGCTGGCTTCTGGGGGAAAAGGTTGGGTTTTCTTGCGCTCTGAACCATCAGGAACCTGCCTACCTGCCTGCTGTGGCTTCAACTTTTCAGAACAGCCCTCCCCCTGGATGGGTACACACAGCCTATGTGAAAAGCCAGAGAAGAGGGTGCTCTCTTTTGGGGGGTGGGGGCAGGAAGCATGATCTGATAAGAATATTGCTCTCTGAACAGGGATCCCGGCAGGGAAGGACACCGATTGTCCGGGTGCCCTCCTCAGCCCAAGGATTCTGACTTTGAATTAGAGTTTCCTCCACACAGCAGAAACACCAAGGGCTGGTAGCCATCAGCTCCCCTTCCAGCCAGGCCGGGAAGGGAGAAAGGATATTTTCTGGCTGGCCCCTGGGAGCTTGTGCCCCTGTGGCATGAACAGGGAGACGGGGGCAGTCCTGTGGGCAGGAGGCTCAAATCAGAAGAGTGCTGGTTCCCACACTCCCCATTTCCACCTCCTGCCTATTTCCTCTTCAGCACAGGGGATGTTACCTTTTTCTTGGGCACAGGCCCTGTAGTAAGATTCTGGCAACCCTGAAGATGACCGATGTTGGAGAGCAAAAGTCTAGGTCCACATCCCTGGGCAGGATTATCAGGGCCTTCCGGTTGTTTTCTCCAGCATCAGCCTCCTCTGTGACCCGGTGTGAGCCCCCTGTCCCCCTTTCCACACAGTGCCCTGTGCTTCCCACTCTCCTTGTTTTCAAGAAAGGAGCCAGTGACCATGTTTATCCTCAAGAGCTCAGTACAAAAGCATTTCCCATTCCACACAGAGCAGGTGCTTTGATGTCATTTGGCCAGAAAGCAAACAGAGGATGAGGGGCCTTTTAGTGGGAAGCAAAGCTTTAGGTCAAATAAATACTCGGTATCTTTCATGGTGGAATTTCAGGCAGTGAGCTGGAAGTCGGAGTGCAGAGCTGGGTAGCAATTTTGGGGAACAGCTTCCTGAAATGACGATACCTAGCAGCTGTCAGCTCTGTTCGCTGCAAGGGCAGCTTTGGCCCCGAGGGCAAAAATACCTTAAGAGTGTGTATGTGTAACTGGTCAGGGGTCACTGTCACTAGGACGCCTTTGTCAAGCACCCAGTGTCCACATGGGGGAGGAGAAACTTTCCTCTAGAGAGTTGCTCAGAGGCACTGCTTGCCATCTGCCAGGACAGCTACTAGGCCACAGGCAGGGTGTGTTGTCACTGACACAGCCTGTGTCTCTGGCTAGATGTGCACGCTGAGTCTCCAGCTGGGGGCAACAGCTCTCTGCTCACTAAGCCTCTTTATTACATTTCCTGGCCAGTTCTGACTGGTTCTGTAGGCACCCAAGCCCGCCTTGTTCAGTCCCTGGTGGATATGGAGATGAAAAGGCATTAGGCCAGACATAGGGCGTACAATCCAGTAGGATTGAAGAGTATTCCTCAAATCCAATCAGGCTGACCGGAGAAGGAAGTCGACAGGAATTTAAAAATGAGGAAAGGGCCCCCTGAGAACATGACATGTCCCTTCTGATAAATTGTGCCTTCTCTGGGCGCTCAGCAGGCCTCCACTGCTGTCCTTGACCAGTGAGCTGAATTAGGTGATGAATAGGCAACAAGCTAATTAACGTCTGGAACGGGGCTCCTGGGGAACGGGTGCAGAGCTCCAGTCTCCATGTTTGAGGATCGGTGGCATTGCCGAAGGGCTTTCTTTGGGGCACTGATGGCCCCAGGGTTCCACCAAGAGCTTCACAAAATGGCCTTTTGTAGCCCCCCTGTGGCCACCATAACAATGAGTCTGTTTCTTTGCTGGCAAGTATTAATTATTCACTTGTAGTTGACGAAACCAGACATCAGTCACCGCATTGGAGCCTTGTAAAAAGGCCTTTGGTCTTGTTGTTCTAAGGAGCGAAGCCACCCTGTCTGGGGGCCAGAGGATGGGCCCTTCTTTCGTGCTGGAGGCGGGACGAGGGGGCGGAGCGTGCTGCTGCCTTTGGACTGGTGAGGTGGCAGGCAGGCTGCGGCGGAGGCGCAGGAGCTGGTACTTCACTGGGTGCTCTTATTAAATGAGAAAGTGCTCCGTAGAGTGTAGCACATAGTACTATTATATTTCTATAGTTATTGTTAAATGTGTTAATTACATAATCATTAAGAATGTGGCTCGTGTGTAGTTAACCCATAGCTTTTTTAAAAAAATCTTTTTTATTCTATTGCAGTTGTCCCAATTTTTCCCCCTTTGCCCTCCTCCGAGCCACCGACCCTGGGCTCCCACCACCCATCCCCACACTGTCATCCATGCTCATGGGTCATTCATACATGTTCTTTGACTAACCCCTTTCCCTTCTTTCCACCATTCACCTCTTCCCCCCTTTCCTCTGGCAGCTGTCAATCCGTTCCCTGTTTCCATGTCTCTGGTTCTGTTTTGCTCATTAGTTTATTTTGTTCATTAGATTCCTTTTATCAAGTGAGATCATATGGTATTTGTTTTCACCGACTGGTTTATTTCACTTAGCATGATGGCCTCCAGTTCCATCCATGCTGTTGCAAAGTAACCCACAGCTCTTACCAACCCATCTACCTCTGGAGCCTTCCAGGAGTTTGGTTTTCCCAGGGGGGGGTGGTCTTTGTGACCAGGAAACCCAGCCCCAGGTTTACCTGCCAAAGGATGCACTGACAAGACCCGGTGTCAGTAAGGACTTTAGGTAGGAAGTGCTGTTAAGTA